ATGCTTCCCAGCCTAGTCTCAAACTGCTGGGCTGAAGCCATCCTCCTGCCTCAGCCTGCCAAAGGCATGAGCCACCCCACCCAGCCTGTTTCCTTTTTTTTTTCTTTTTAAATGAATACCACTGGACACACAGCTCTTGCCTTCTATTGAACTTTTAGTTATTTTTGGAGAATAAATTATTGCAAGTGGGTCAAAGCACATAAATGTTCACACTTCTTAACTGCCCACCCCACTAAGCTTGAGGCCTCTTAGCTCATAGAAAAAATGGTGACCTTCGTTCTCAATATGCACAGGACCTTATCAAAGAAACTTTTCAAAGAATGAGATTAAAAAAAAAAAGTGGAAAAATGACGAAGGATATAAATGTTACCTCAGAAAAGAAGAATACACTTGGCCACAAGAATATGAGACATGCTCAGCCTCACTGATAATTAAACACTTGCAAATTCATGCCAAAAAAAAAAAAATTTCTTGTAAGTATAAGCAAGGACTGACAAGTTTGGTAATATCCCCAATGGTAAGGTCTGGGGAACAGTCACTGTCACTGTGCTCTGCAGACATGCCAATCAACAAAGCTGTAGGGGAGGATAACTTGCAATCACTGTCGTCAGTGCTGGGGATAGCAGCAGCACTGTCCAGGAGCACTTCCGGCCACCGTGGAATGTTCTGGACCTGGATCCAGCATGGCTGCCACAAGCCACGTGTGCTTACTGAGCACTTGAAATGTGACTGGTGCAATGGAGGGACCGAATTTTTTAAATTTTCATTTGCTTTTAATAAATGAATTGAAATAGCCACACATGGTTAGTGGCACTTGTATTAGGTAAGTGACAGCTGCATAAGGATGCTGGTTCTAGGAAGCCCAGCAGCCTGTGATGGGGCTGCTTTGAGAACAGGGCACAGCTGAGTGCCCGGTGCTGGACTATGGCTAAGCCAGCTGAGTTAAGCACATCTCAGGGAACTCTGTGTGCAAAACAAGAAAGAGGAATTGAAAACAGAGAAATAGTGGGAAGAGGCAGAGGAGAATAATGAGAATTGCCTGTTGCCATTTTTGAAGTGTGGCCTCCAGGCCTTGCAGCCGTAACTGAATGGCCATGAGCAGCACTGCAGGCCTGCGTGACATCCGGCTGAGTGGCCACCGAGAAAGGTCTTTGCTGCCTCAGGTCCCAGGTGTGGCCATCAGTACTTGTCAGAACCGGAGCAGGGGACTGTGCCTGACAGCTGGATCAGCTAACCAACACTTTCTGGCTGTTCCTGGCTCTTATATGTGGAACCAAAAATGTTATTGTACAGTTTGGTAAAAACAAATCATTACTTCGCACACGATGGCTTATAAATCTGGTTGCAAATGGATTTGCACAAAATGAAGCATAGCTTAGTTTCTTCGTGGTCTGGTCTAGTGTAAAAAGTGGGGACGCTGTTTCTCATGTCAATGACAGGGGGTGGGAGAGAGAGTGGCCACTCTGCCAGTGGGTTCCTGCACCATCTGTGGTGCGCACTAGCATTTCCCAAAGGGAGCAATATATTGGACCCTTTTCAAGGCAAATAGTCTTGACAATGCCTGATAATTCATCTAGGGACCCTAGTTAAGTGTTCTGTAATTATTAAAGAGAGTTAGAATTGTAAGCCAATTTTAGTTGACATATATATGTATACACACACATATATATTTTAACCTTTAAAAAATTCTTCCTGGCTGGGCGCGATGGTTCACACCTGTAATCGAGCACTCTGGGAGGCTGAGGGGGGCAGATCACAGGTCAAGAGATTGAGACCATCATGGCCAACATGGTGAAACCCCATCTTTGCTAAAAATACAATAACAACAAAAAATTAGCCGGGCATGGTGGCAGGCACCTGTAGTCCCAACTACTTGGGAGGCTGAGGCAGGAGAATCGCTTGAACTTGGGAGGTAGAGGTTGCAGTGAGTGAGATCGTGCCATTGCACTCCAGCCTGGGCAACAAAAATGAGACAATGCGCCCGGCCCTAAATGTTTAGCTTTTTAAAAATCCTTGTGAAATTTGTCCAGGCGTGGTGGCTCACGCCTATAATCCCAGCACTTTAGGAGGCCGAGGCAGGCGGATCATGAGGTCAGGAGTTCAAGACCAGCCTGGCCAATATGGTGAAACCCTGTCCTTACCAAAAATACAAAAATTAGCTAGGTGTGGTGGCACACGCCTGTAGTCCCAGCCACTTGGGAGGCTGAGGCAGAAGAATCGCTTGAACCTGGGAGGCAGAGGTTGCAGTGAGCCAAGATCATGCCACACTGTACTTCAGCCTGGGCAACAGAGCAAGACTCCATCTCAAAAAGAAAAAATAAAAAAATTCTTGTGAAATTTATGTTTGTTAATGGTGAAAAACAGAGCTGCCAAATTATTTTTTTCCACCTTTGTAATCAGTTCTCTAAACACCAATCTATTCCCTTTTCCCACCCATTCAAAACATCCCATAATCCCCAATATACATGGGCTTTTTTCAGACCTGCACTTTATTCCATTGCTCCGTCTCTGCCATTTTAATTGCTATCGTTCTTTTTTTTTTTTTTTTTGATGAAGTGCTATGTCAACATTATTTATGCATATTTTAGATTTATCATCCGTCTTTCTTGCTATAAATCTTAGTTAAAAAGGGCAGAGCTTTCACTGATTTATTCACTGATCTATCCCCAAGGCACATCATAGACACTGATATTCATTGAATGAGTGAATTTGGAGCGACGGCGTTTGAGATGTCAAATTTGCCATCTCATTTGAACACCAACCTTGGTCTTTAGGGCTAACTCCCCTCCAGGTGTAAGATCCTGGAACGGTGCTCTCTGTTGAGGAAGAGTAACTTCCCCATGGAGAAAGGCCTTTGTTTGGTCAAACCACATCATTTCATTTCATTTAATTTGATCTTCTCAATAATTCTGGAAGGAAGACGATGCAGAACAGCTGCAGGTGGGAATGTAAATTGGTGCAACCTCTTGGAAAAAGAATTTGGCTTAACATGTCTTAATCATGCTTTCCCCTACCCCTCAATCAGAGACCACCAGAACACACTGTGGGCTAATAGACTGGCCTTGTTTCTCATTGCAGCAAGGAAGAACGCATGCCCTGGGAAGCCTCATGCGTTCCACTCAGTAAGGTCGTTAGAAAGACACGACGACAGGATTAGGGCTTGGGTGACCTGCAAGGGGGTTTGAGGAACCCGGGCTCTGCTTGGATGGATGCTGTCGGCACGTGGGGCTAGCTCCAGGGTCGGCAGTCTTTCTTTACAAGCAGGAGGAAGGACGCCAGGCGACAGCTGCCCAGCAAGGCAGCCGCAGTGCTCAGGCGCCAGCACGGGGCATCGGGGCTTCTGTGGCAGAGATGGTGCATTTGTGCTCAGAGGTGAGTCTGGAGGGGCTTAGTCCTGCCTCGATCCCTCGTGGTCGGGGTGGACTTGCCTGACACGTTATGTTCCATGACATAGTTTCTATTTAGCAGATTACAGGACCCAGCTCCTGCATGTCAGGGGCTGCTGTTCTCTTTCTCACTGCCTTTTAACCCAAGGAATCCACTTTTGGGCATCAATCATAAGCAAATAGATACACACGCAAATGAAAAACGTAAGGCCAGGCGCAGTGACTTGTGCCTGTAATCCCAAGCACTTTGGGAAGCCGAGGCGGGCGGATCATGAGGTGAAGAGATCAAGACCATCCTGGCCAACATGGTGAAACCCTGTCTCTACTAAATATACAAAAATTAGCTGGGCAAGGTAGTGTGCACCTGTAGTCCCAGCTACTCGGGACGCTGAGGCAGGAGAATCACTTGAACCCGGGAGGCAAAAGTTGCAGTGACCTGAGATCATACCACTGCACTCTAGCCTGGGCAACAGAGCAAGACTGTGTCAAAAAAAAAAAAAAAAGAAAGAAAAGAGAAAGAAAACAATAAGAAAAGTGTATGTACATCTCACCATTATTATTAATAGAGAAAATGCCCTCCAAATATAGGTGCAGTAAAGAAGTTTTACAAAGCAAATATGTGCCACAGGCCATGCTGGGCAGGGCAGAGTGCAGACAAGGCTGAGGATGGCATGGCCACGAGCGGCCACCATAAGCTGGTGTGTGATGCAGCCCTACAAAGATGGCTCACTGGCCCAGAGACACTCAAGGACAGTGCTAAATAGAGAAGTGAGACATATGACTATAAATATAGCGTACTATCAGTCATGTAAGGGAAAATCTTTATTTTTAACAAATACTTCCTGAGGACTGACTCCCTAGGGAACAGACCTGCCCTTGTCTGTCTTTTCTCTGTGACTTATGACGATGTTATAGGGAGATGACACAGCACGTCCTGGAGGGCGGCTGGCTAAGCTCCAGGGCCTGGCTTCATGAGGCGCAACTACCAGCTGCTGAGCTCCAGAAGTTGGACGTTTCCCATGTACTCCAAACTGACGGCGCTTCTGAGGACCAAACAGTGACAACCAAGTTCATGTTTTGGTGACTGCCAAGAGGGCGTGGGCACAGTTGTAAATCCACTCTGTTGACTGCCAGCTGGGGACGACTTCTCCAGTGAGAGGACAGCTCAGTCGTGCTCAGGAACTTTCTGGTAGCAGGAAGACCTGATCTGGCCCTGGCAGGGCTCAGGCTGGCGCTGGAATTAAAGCCGGGTGAGAAGGAGCATCTTGGACGAGAGTCACCAGGCTCTGGAGGCTGAAAGCCAACCCTGGGCGGGCTCCTGATCGAAAGGATGGATTTTCTTTTGAAAATCCATTTTCTTTCAAATAGGCCATGTCCCTTCAGGTGACATGCTTTACATTTCATATCTACTGTGTAAAACAAATTATCCCCAAACTTAGAAGCTTGAACAACAATACTTCTTATCTCACAGCTTCCCTGAGTCAGGAATCTGGGTGTGGCTATTCGGGTTCCTCCAGAACAGGGTGTCTCATGGCGCCTCACGCACAGTACAACCCCAGGTCTGGGTCTATGCATCTCCTGCAATGTATACTTTACATTCTGCTCTTTTTTTTTTTTCCATCAAGGCCTTTACATGTCCACATCTAAGCACACACAGAAAGTTTCTCAGCTTGCTTTTTAAGTCTGAGTATTCTAGGTAATCCAGTAACTCCTGATCCTCAACTTCCTAACTCCTGACTGGGAGACCAATCTGATCCGCCTGTGCTGGTCGCAGGCCAGTGCCTGAGCCAAGGCCTGTCCAGCAGGTCAGGTGAGCGGCTGCGCATGCCCCCAGCACCCTGTGCAGCATCCTCTCCTATGCCTCCCACTTGCTCCCTGCTCCCTGAGTGTGCCTAGCCCTTGGCACATCCTTTAATGCCAACAATTCCTTCCAGACCAGAGACACAGGCAGGGGCTGAATGCGTGCCACCCCCTCGCAGGTCCTTGGGGTAGAAAACTGGCCTTGCCCCCAGCCTGCCCTGTCCCAACACCCTGGCTCCTCCTTCCACGCATTCCGAGTGTCACCCTGTGGGTGTGAATGTGGGAATGAGACCCGGTGGGGACAAAGCCACTGAAGCAAATTCTGTCCCTTAAACCTGTGGAACCAAAGGAAGGCTGGCAACTCTGACCCTCCCGTGCCTGCTCTGCCCTCCCAGTGGCTCTAGCTCCCTAAGCTGGAACTCAGATACAGTTTCAAAGGGCATCCAGAGGCCACACAGGATGTGGGCTTATCCCTTGCTCTCATGCGAGGGAAAAGCTTCCGCAGTGTGAATAAGACATTTAATCAGCCAGTCCTGCTCAGAGCCCTAGACCCACCCTGCTCTTGCTAACCTGAAGAACAGACACTAGGCTGGGCATGGTGGCACATGCCTGCAGTCACATCAACCGGGGAGGCTGAGGTGTGAGGACTGCTTGAGCCCAGGTGGCCAAGGCTGCAGTGAGCCATGATGCAGCCACTGCACTGCAGACTGAGTGACAGAATGAGACCCTGTCTCTAAAAAAGAAAAGAATAGACACTGCAACAAGCACTCTATCTTGTCATAAATTTCACCTGCCAGGAACTCCCTGCTTTGACCTGCTTGCCTTCAGGTCGTTGGCCCTGAGCAGGTGGTCAATGTTCTTTTACCACTTTGTAGTCGCACCTCCATTTCTGGTGCCCTTATCCTTCTTCGCATCCACTGGTAACTGTCTCCTGACTGATTTCCTCATCACCAATACCTACATCCTCTCCCCTTTCCCTCATTTAGGAAACACGGTGCTTCCAGTTCTAACATATCATGATTTTCTGTCTCTCACCTACCCAAAACACCATGTTCTCAATTCCACATTAAAGCTAGAACTAGCTATTCATCTTAGAACCACAGAACTCAGCTATCTAGAAGAAAACAGTATTGTGGGTCTCTGCAAAACTGCATATATCGAGAAGCTTCAGACTTGGGGAAAACATAAAAATAGCTGATGTTGGAAAGAGTAGGGGTGGGGCATTGGGGAGAAGTAAGGAGCCAAAAATTGGTAGGAGATAGCCATGAAGCATATTCTGTCTTCCAGCAAATGGTGAAGCCATTCTAGAAATATACTCATCACCCCCCTCAGTCCTGGGGAGTCTAAATTTCTTGGTAATACATCTTCAACTAGAAGCATTTATCAGACATAAAATCCCCTAGACATCTCGCTTGCCTTTCCAGGAAAAAAAAAAAAGGACAAATATAGTTTAACAATAAACTTGTGTAGGAAGAGAGACACTCACAGTGAGAGCTGCACATACTTGGTGTTAATGGTGAATATCTTGAAGTCTGATTATTCTAGTGAAATCAAAATCCTCCTCAATTCAAATACCTCTTAGGCTCTCCTGACCCATCATTAGACTGCCTGAACAGCAGGAAAGTTCAGTCACTCAGAGAACACTACTCAGGCACATTATTCTGTTGCTGGCACGTGGGACACAGGAGCTGATGAAGTGAGTATGCCTACGGGGTCAGGTTTGTCTATGCAAAAACAAACGAACAAAGGACTCTGAACGAACAGTTGCCAGCGGCCTATGCAGTGACTACTTCCTCCCCACTCACTCAGCACCTTGGGCCACACTTCTGTATTGCAGGGTTGGAATGGGCTTTGTTCAGCCTCAGTGAAGAAGGGACCAAACACATTTGCCCCAGGTTCAGGGCGAACATGAGATTCTCCCATTTTCCCAGTGTCAACACTGGGGATGGTGTGTATACGTCAGGCTCATTTCTGGGGAAGTCGGCTATCTCACCAAAATATTCCAAGTAACTGTTGATATTCTGGATGCTGACTGCTTTACTTAAAGGCATCCGCTGTACATACGACAATGCAAGTTTGAAACATTGGCTGGTAGCGGCAGAGCTACTGATCCCACACTCTGGTGGGGCTCTTTGACCAGTTTCAAGGTCAGGGTGGAGAAAGTTCAACTTTAGAACTCTTTCCCACCAAGAGTTTTCTTTTCTTATTAGATTCAAAAAATGTTTATTGATCAACAACTCAGTGCGAAACCTATGAGAGAACCCAAAGACTTAAAAACCTGGGGTCCTCAGGAGGCCGAGGCGGGGGAATGGCGTGAACCCGGGAGGCGGAGCTGACAGTGAGCCGAGAGTGAGCCGTTGCACTCCAGCCTGGGCGACAGAGGGAGACTACGTCTCAAAACAAAAACAAAAACAAAAACAAAAACAAAGACAAAACAAAAAACAACCCTGGGGTCCTGCTCTCCAAGACATGTTAAATGAGATAATATAAAAATTCCCATTTCTGGTACCTGAAAAAGGTTTCGGGCTGGAGAGGTCACAACGTTCAGCTTGCTGACCTCATCAATCATCTGTCCCCAAACAGACAGACAGGCAGACAGACCTCTTGGAGAAGTCATCCTCAAAAGTAAGGCTGCAGGGCCTGGGCCGACTTGAGAGCAATGGAATCCAGTGGAAATCGCTTCTCAAGTACACTTGATGTTTGGACACTTCTCAGCTCTTAAAGCTTCTGACGTTGATTGGATGCTGGTATGGCTTTATAAACACTTGTCTTTTTCATATTTTCTTGAGGATTCATGACTCCTCGACCATTTTGTATATTCTAAAATAAACATGCCATAAAATAAATAAAACAATTTTCACTTACTGCATAGTTTATTCCGATACTGACCTTGTTTGGGCCAAACTTAGCTATTATTGAACAAAGGGTTATAAGCCATCGTTGCTTAGTGACGTCTTCTATCATCTTCACTGAGGCTGCAATTGGCATTCCGCAGGCTCTTTCCAACAAGACCATTTCTCTGGTACACAACTGAGCCATCAGCCTGACCGAGTTAAAATCCACAATCATTTGCGGAGCACTGCTCTGTGCAGGGGAAGCTCCAAACACGTAGGTGATGAAGAGGAGCAAGACCCATTCCTGACCCACAGAACCTGCCTGTAGCCCCGGATCCTGCTGGCGCAGGGCAGGGGTGTGATGAGGTGGACACCAAGTGCTCTGCAGAGCAGTGTTGGGGAAGAGAAGTTCTGGAGAGGGAGGGAGAAGGCCCCACATCCCCAGGGCAGGTGAGATGTGAGCTGGGTCTCCTGGGATGAAGGAGACTGGGCCGGAGGAGAGAGTAGGGAGGAGCACTCCAGGAAGGCAGTGAAGTTTGGTGGAGCACTGGCTGTGGGTGGGAGGCAGGAGAGGAGGCGGGAGCAGGGCCTGAAGGGTAAGGTTACCAGGGGCTGAGAAGCCATTAGACTCTCAGCAGCAGCCCTGAGCTCCCGACTGCGCTTTGTTTTTTATCAAGCCCCCTGCCCCCCGCATCATGTTAATATCGGGGAAGCTCAGGGGATCCCTATGTCAAGTGGCAATTCCTCACCCTCCCTTCTGCTGCATGAGGTCAGATATCAGCTGCCCAACATCCAGCAGCAACTTTCAATATCATGTTTTGTTTCTGAAGGTAGCAGGGACAAGTAAGCTTGGGAGTATGTGAAAAGAGCACTGAATCGAGAGTTAGAAAACAGAAACAAAGTTTTCATCAATTATGTAAAGCAGCTCTCTGCCCCTGGGGTTGAAAACAAACCTAGCCACAAACAGGGCCTAGTTTTCTCTCAGGACGTCATGGTCTAAGACAAACGAATGCCATGCAAAGGAGCAAAGTGAAGGCAGGGGATGTTGAAAGCAGAAAGGAGGGAGGAGCAATTAACTCCTGTGAAAAGGAGGCGTCATCAGATCCGATCCTACTTGGACACTGACAGCTGAGCCTTCACTGCCCCTACTGGGTCAGAAACAAAGCAACACAAATATGGTGCCCCACGGGGGTTTGTGAGAGCCCAGACAGATGGGTGCACCCAGTGGGCTGCACTGCGGAAGAGGAGCCCTGAGCTCAGGGCATATGCAGAGGGAAACATCACCTACTGCGGGTGTCCTATTGCAAACACAGCCCTGAGATGCCCAGTTCAGGAGCGGCCAGGCCTTGCATTCTTGGATACCCAGTGTGTGACTTTCCTGTGGCCGCCATAATAAATGACTATAAACCGTGTGGCTCAAAACAGCAGATGTTTATTCTCTTACAATTCTGAGGTCCCAAAGCCTGAAACTGAGGTGTCAGCAGGGTGGTTCCCTCCACTGTCTGTGAGGGAGAATCGGCCAGGCCTCTCTCCTGGCCCCCAGTGGTTTGCTGGCAATCTTTGGCATTCCTTGGTTTGCAGACACTTCACCCCCATCTCTGCCTCCATCTCCAATGACCTTCTTCTCTCCGTCTCTGCGTCTCCCTCTCCTTTCTCTTATAAAGATATCAGTCATTGGGTTTAGGGCCCATCCTAAATCCAGGATGATCTCATCTCCAGGTGTTTTAATTACATTTGCGAAGACCCTTTTTCCAAATAAGGTTGCATTCACAGGTTCTAGAAGTTAGAACTTGGACCTATCTTTTTGGGGGCCACCATTCAACCCACTACCTCCAGGAAAGACTTGTAGGAGAGCAGGAGACGGGTGGAGGATTGCCGCTCCCATTGCTGAGCTTTCCTAACAAGAGAACGGTTTTTATGTCAGCCTGAAGCAGCGATCTGCATGAGCAAAGACCTGGGTCTGGAAAGGGGAAGAGAACATTTGGGACAAGGTATCATATTTTACTACAAGTGAGGAAGCCTGGAATAAATGGTGTGAGACAAATCAGCCTACACGCTTCCTATGTGTCAGCACTGTTCTAGGAGCTGGGACAGTAGCTGGAAACCAAACACAAACTCCTGCCCTCATGCAGCTTACATTCTTGTCAGGAGAGACAGATAGGAAACAATATTAAGAGGTAAATGTTCAAATATATTAGAGGCAGAATCTGGGAGAAAAGTATCCAAGGCAGAGAGAATAACCAGGGCAAATGTCTAAGTGGAAACTGTGCTTGCCATGCTGGGCCAGGAGGGAGGCTACTGGGTCTGAAGTCAGAAACCAAGAAGGCTCAGAGACTGAACCCTCCTCGCACACTGACAAGATGGCCTGCACAGCTCCACATCACATGCACATGTATACAAAACACCAGACCAAGGCCGGCCGCAGTGACCCACGCCAGTAAGCCCAGCACTTCATGAGGCAGAGGCGGGTAGATCACGAGGTCAGGAGTTCAAGACCATCCTGGACAACATGGTGAAACCCCATCTCTACTAAAAATACAAAAATTGGCTGGGCATAGTGGTGCATGCGTTTAATCTCAGCTACTCAGCCCAGAGGCTGAGGCAGGAGAATTGCTTGAACCCGGGAGGCGGAGACAGGTTGCAGTGAGCCAAGATTACGCCACTGCACTCCAGCCTGGGCAACAGAGCAAGACTTCATCTTGGGAGAAAAACAAACAAACAAACAAACAAAAAACAGACCTCTGAATCGGAGAAATGGACAATTTATTACTCACAGTGAACACAGCAGCCAGAACAGTATCTTCTGTCACTTTCCAATGCCCCTATTCCCAAGAAGAGGGGATGTGGACTGTGCCACCTGGGCAGGCAGTAGGATTGCATCCCAGGAGAAGGACCTGAAACTGCAAGACTTGGAGATTTTATCAGGGCTGTGGAGGACCTGCCTTTCCTCTCCTCCAGAGATAAATGACTCATTATCCAGCAACACAGAGGTCAGCACCGACCTCACCAGTAGCAGGCTCACAGGAGAGGCAGGGGCATTGGGAGAGTGGGAGGCAGCACAGGGCCAGCTCTTTCACGAAAACAGAGAAACAGGGCAGTTCTAGAGTGGGAAGTAGGGGCACAGAGAACAGGAAGGAAAGGCGGCCAGCGAAGGTATATCACACCAGCTCCCACTGTGGCCACCCAAACCCAAGCCTCCTGGAAAAGTCTGGGAACTATTAAAAATCCACATTTCAGCATCACCCGGCCAAGGGGTGGGGTGGGGTATGAACACATCCCCCATCATTCCCTGATTAAAGGCTGCAGGAGAGTGGAGTTCATGCCAAGGCACTTGAGATCGACCAAGGATGCAGCCAGGCAGAGGCAGGGGAAGGCCAGCTCTCACCCAGAGAAGGGCAGGACAGGGGTGGACATGGGACCCAGGGTACTGTGGCGGTACAGACAGGGACCTGGGCAGGCACAGTGTCAGTCAGAGGTCCAGAGACCTGAAGGTGAGAGGGGCAGGACCCTTGAGGTTCCAGGAGAGAGCATCTTATATTTTTCCATTTTGCAGTGACTTGGAGATTTGTCCACACCAGTGCACAGAGGCGGTTCCTCTTTTTTATTTTTTATTTTTTTAACAGCTGCTTAATGTTTTATCCTAGCAGGATAAAACCTGCTAGGGCCATTTAAAGTGTTTCAAATCTTAGAGGGCAGAGCCTGGTGGCTCACACCTATAATCTCAGCACTTTGGGAGGCTAAGGAAGGAGGATTGCTTTAGCTCAGGAGTTCGAGACTAGCCTGGGCAACATGGCAAACTCATCTCTAAAAAATAAAAAAAAAAATTAGACCTGTAGTCCCAGCTACTCGGGAGGCTGTGTGAACAGCAAGGGGTCAGTCTGGTTGGGGGTATGTTTGGCTGGGGTCTAGATAGGGCCTGATTTGCTGGGGGTCCATCTGTCTGAATAGCTGGAGATATGTACTCATTTGGGGGACTTCTCTGTCAATCTGGAGGATCACGTCTGACCAACCAACGGGTTCACCCATCAAGATCAGAGTCTGGCTGGCTGGCTGGGATGTCAGGATTCCATGTGGCTGATGTCTGTCTGTCTGGCAGTCCATCTGGTTGGTTAGGAGTCTGTCTGGCCAGAAGGTCTTTTCAGCCAGCCAGCCCACCTGGGGGATGGGGGTAGGGTCTGAGAAGTCTGTGTGTCTGTTCAGCTGGGGATCTGTTTACATCTCTCTAACTTAGGGGTCCACCTGGCTGTCCAGCTGGCAGAGGTGTCTGTCTTTTGGGGGCTCTGTTTGGTGGTCTCTCTGGCTGGGGGTCCCTTTGTTCACCTGTGGACTGTATCTCTGAAGGTTTGGCTGTCTGTCCAGCTTGGTGGTCCACCCATCTGTCTGCCTATCTGGAGGTCTTTTTATCGGTCTGCCTGGATGGCGAGGGGTCCATCCATTTCTCTGTGTGGTCCCCTGAGTGTTCAAGTGAGGCAGGCTCAGGTGCTGAGGATGGACTAGTGTGTTATGTGGTAAGGCGAGCAGTCTCTGGAAGCTCATCTGTCCATTCTCCCCTTCATAACTCAGGGGCCATGCCCCTTCCCGATCTTCTTTCTTGAATGTGCTCCGTGCAGCCTCACCAGCCATTATACCAAACCTACCTCCTCCAGCCTCAAGCCTTGAATGCTACAGTCACTGGGGCAAAGCCCCCGCATTTCCCACCCTGAGAAACTTTTATTTTGATTCAGGCGCACTGTTTCCATTCTGCACACAGCAGTCCGAGCTCACACGAGGCAACAGGCAGGAGCTGGCGCAGACTCACACCCGGGTCCACTCAGCAGGGGGGTCCCGGGGCCCCTTCGGCCTCCCAATGCGCAGGTTGAAACCTGGGAGAGGAAGGGTGCCGTGGGTCTCATGACGAAGCTGAGGTGTGCGGAGGCTGGCAAACACGAAGACGGCCATCCCCCTGCCTCCAGGTCCTTCTGAGTCACTGCAGCCACATCCACAGGACTGAGCTCCATGCCCCATCCCTCAACCCCAGACTCCCGGGGTTCACTCAAAGCAGCAAAGTCCCGGCAGCCCAGGCTCTCCCTGACTTACCTAGCCCACCGGTCTGAGCTCCACCCGCCACGTCCTCGTAGGCGCCAGATGCGGCAGGACTTGGGTCAGCAGGAACTGAGGGCAGGAGACCCCCCACACGAGTCAGCTCCGGAAGCCCCACGGAGTCCCAAGACCCCACCCCTGGCGGGGATGCTTCCTCCGAGGCCCGAAGAGGAGGGCCGAGGGCGCCTGGCGGGAGAAGCCGCACACCCCGAACGCAGCCTCGAGACTTTGGGCGTGGCCCAGACAAGCCCGCTAGTGTCGCCCGGAACCTGCCCCGGGACCCGGACCGCGACCGCCAGGGGGCGCTTCCGGGGCGTGGCCAGGGACGCCGCGACGTCAGCGTCGGGGCGTGGCCAGCTTAGTATGGGGGCTGGGGGATTTCGCGGCCGCCGGGGCCCCGCGGACCACAGCAAGGTGATGCCCTGAGAAGGAGCAAGTCTCGACTCACCGCGGCCAGGCACCGTGCCCCGCACGTCTTCCGCGTGCCCCCCGGGCCGCTGGGCGCGCGGCGTCACCTGGCTGTAGAGCGGCACCTCCTCCGCGCTGCGCGCCCCCGTCCCGGTCTCCGGCCCCGGCCCGGCGCCCGCTGGAGCCCCGCGCTTCTGCACCACCGCGTAGGTGTCAGCCATGGCGTGGCCCGGGGACCCGGGCACCGAGATGCTCCTGCAGGCAGGGAGGGCCGGGAGGAAGTGAAACGGCGGCGCTGGGCAGGGCGGGAGTGGGGAAGCTGCTCAGTGCGCAAACCACGGGCTTCCTTCCCGTCGAGGCGGGAGACGGGAGGCAGGGCTCCCTGGGTGGGGGGCCTCGCTTGTGTGTCCCTAGCGCCCTGCACGTTAGGTGGATGAAGGAGGAACGGGGTCGGCCTGAAAGGTAATTGGAGCAGTGCTGGTTTGAGGGGTGGTCATTTCTGTGTCAGTGTCTACTGAATACGAGAGTGCGGAAGTGGCATAGAGGACAGGGAAGGATGGCCGCAAGGACAAGAGCCTGAAGTCTCCGCTGCAAAGGCGGCTCAGTCCCATGCCCGCGGCACTCAACGTGCAGCCTGACAAGAGGGCGGCATCTAGAATTATTTGCTGAATTGTTTTTTGTTGCTTTTTGAGACAGGATCTAGCTCCGTCGCCCAGGCTGGACTGCCGTGGTGCAATCTCCGTTTACTGCAACCTCCACCTTCTGGGACTCTCCTGCCTCAGCCTCCGAAGTAGCTGTGACTATAGGCTCCCGCCAGCACGCCTGGCTAATTTTTGTATTTTTAGTAGAGACAGGGTTTCACCATGTTAACCAGGCTGGTCTCCAACTGGCCTCAAGTGATCCACCCTCCTTGGCCTCCCGGAGCGCTGGGATTACAGGCGTGAGCTGCCTGAATTAAGGTTTGATTGGAGGATCCAGGAAAGGCCTAACTCAGAAGGCACGGCAAGCCTTAGAGGCAGAGGCAAGGGGACCACTGTGATAAATGAATCATCTTGGAGTGGGTTCCCAGGGCTCAATTTAAAGAAAGGGCCAGAGAGCACTTGGCGAAGTGAACAAGGAACGGACTGGTGTTCCAAGGATGAGGAAGGGGTTAGCCTGAGGAATTGGGCAGGGAAGAATGTGGGAATGGAGTCGGGTACCTGAGGACGCCTCCTGGTGGGCGGGGTATGGCGAGAAGTGCCTGGGGAGTCCGGAGGAAGAGGGCATCGTCGTAGAGTGGGGCACAATTCTGAGGAAAAACAGGAGGGGAGGCTCCTGAGGGAGGAAGCTGGCCAGGCCTCTCACGGGGCTCTGGGAGAAAGCTTAAGACAGGAGAGCCTGATAAGGATGCCCGGAGGAGGGCACAGGTGGATGTCATAGTCAGTGCCTGCTCCCAGGAGTCCCGGGGGCTGGACCCTGCTTGGGGTCCTGGTCTCTGAGGGTGCTGATGGCAGACAGGAGAGTGGGAAAGGGGCCTCTGTACCTCTTTGATGTTCTGGTAGTGGGGGCTGGCATTCTGGAGCGTGGAGCAGAACATCTGGGCCACCGTGTGGTACAGGAACCTGTACTGCTCCTGTTGGGGTGAGGGACCATCAGGAAAGGAAGGCAGGGAATGACAGCAGCGGGCCACTGTCCCTGAAGATTAGGAGACCCAGCGTTCACCTCTGTCTGCACGGCCGCAGGCCGCTGCTTCCTCATCTCAAGGACCACATCAAAGAGGCTGAAGTCAGATGGGATCATCTGGGGCAGACAGACAAGGCACTTGAGCAGGACACGAGGTCATGGGCAGCACACTGCACACACAGGATGCCTGCATCGTACCTGGGTCAGGAGCAGCTGCCTCACATAATCCACGGTGCACAGGACACCTGTTCGCCCACAGCCCGCACTGACAAGAGAATCAGAGCGTGCCTGGTCAGGTCCTGACCACAACCCCTTTTAGACAGGGTATTTGGGGATGGGGGTGAGGGTCCTAATGGATCCCTTGCAGAGCCTCTTGATTCCCAGAATCTCCAGATATCTGAGCAAGGAAAACCTTTTTAATCACTTACATTTTGTTGAGCAGCGGCTGTGTGCTTATTCCCCAGCTGAGTCTATGCTGAACAAGTGCTCACAATTATAGTCCATGGAGGTGAGCAAGGTTCTCAAAATAGGCACTCAGACTATAAGACTAGCCCCATGCCCTGCACTCCCCTCCCTGCCCTGTCGCCTCTGCCTCACCAGACCCTCCTGAAGCCCATTTCCAGAACCTGCAGTGGACACAGAGGGGTTCAGGGCCAGATCCCTGGAGGCGACGGGCTTCCTCCACCATGGCAAGCATGTGGTCAGGACTGCTGGGGACCCCACGGTCTGGCCAGGACATATACTGTAGCTGGGACACAGAACGGGACTCCTGAAACAGAAAAAGATGAGCAAAAGACTTAGGAAAAAAAAAAAAAAAAGCATTAATTGGGTACCTACTATACACCAGGCCCACTTCTAGGCATCTTCCATTTATATCTACCAGAGAATAACTGAGGAGGTGGGTACTAGTATGATGCCCATTTTTACAGGGGAGGAAATCTCTCCCCTTTCAGGAGCCCCTTTGCCTCCTCCTTCCTTGTCACAGTACCTTCTGGAATGTGACCTTGAGGGTCCTCAGCATGATGTCCTCATTCAGCCACTTCTCCTTAATCTGAGTAAGGGGGGTGGGGCAAGTAAGAAGAGGGAGGAGAACAAAGATCACAGGTACCAAAAGACATTTATAGAAAGCAAAGCATTCCTGATTAAAAAATCAAATACAGAAAACATTTTTAAAATTCATATAGCCCGGCTGGGGGCGGTGGCTCACACCTGTAATCCCAGCACTTTGGGAGGCCAAGGCGGGCAGATCACGAGGTCAGGAGATTGAGACCTTCCTGGCTAACACGGTGAAACCCCGTCTGTACTGAAAATACAAAAAAATTAGCCAGGCGTGGTGGCGGGCACCTGTAGTCCCAGCTACTCAGGAGGCTGAGGCAGGAGAATGGTGTGAACCCGGGAGGCGGCGGAGCTTGCAGTGAGCGGAGATCGTGCCACTGCAATCCAGCCTGGGTGACACAGCAAGACTCCGTTTAAAAAAAAAAAAAATCATATAGCCCAAACTTTCCCAAAGCTTTCATTAAGGAAACATTTGACACAGGAGAAAAAGAGGAACTATTATAAAAACACAAGCCCTTTTGCAGTGAAAAGAGATGATTTTGTTCTAAACTGAAACTTCTGTTGTATTTATTAAGTACTAACGGTATGTATGACTTGAGAGTCCCCCAAGCTCTTTTGAAATGGTAAGAGAAGTAAGACTTTCAAGAACCTAACCAGGCACACTTACATGACAGAGACAACTGTGATTGTAGCCAAAATAAAAAAGCAAAGGCTATCCCTATACTAAGTTCTAACTATTTGCAGGCTAACACCAGAGGGTTTCCTGCAGTGTGAGTGGACTGTGGGTGAAATCATTCATCCCTTTAGGCCCAACCCAAAGCCTTGCCACCCTGGGAATCTTCCTTGAAACCTCCCACAGCTCACCAGAGTGATGCAGAAAAGCCCAGTCTGCAGTGGCTCCTGCTCCTGGGCCCAGTACCGCTCACACCTTTTCTGCAGAAGGTAAGGGAGAAAAGGCAGGGAGTGAGAGAGGGAGTCAGCTTTAGAGCTAGCTCAATCCTGCCACAAGACACCCCAAGTGCTCGTGGTGTAAGCACAGGCAGCTATACTTATAACCTATAACAGAGGCCAGCCAACAAAGCCATCAGATTAAACACATGCAGACTCAATGGAGGTGCGCTGCTGACCATGCAGGGGAAATACAGTCCAGGATACCCTCCCACTGTAAGCAGCTAGAAACTGGACAAAATACATGAGCCGCTATTTTCAAACACTGGTTGGCAGGCGTTGCAGTACTGTGGTCACTGAACAGACCACTCTGGCTTATTGCATGGAAGTGTCACCAGGCTGTAAGACATGAGTCTAATGACCCCACAGAGTTGAGCCAGAGACCATGGCTCAAGGAGGCCAAGGCAGCTAGAATTTGCAGGGCTGAGTCTTGCAAGGAACAGAGCTATGCAAATAAAAACAAAAGAAAAAGTTGCATAGAAGTCCCCTCCTTGATTCTTTGGTTGAATAATCTGAATGTATACAGCATGAAACCCCATGAGGCCAGGCAAGAATAACTTCCCATGAAAGAATAGTAGGGATCTGTACAATGAACATTTCCTTGAGCTCACTATGAGAACGAATTCACATTCCCTCTAGCTAGAATGTAGAGGCATTATCAACTATAAGGGGCATTTAGTAGGGAACCTAGAATGACCATACATGAGAAGTATGGCTAAATTAATTCTAGAACAGAGGCTACTTGATCAGCCATCCAAAAGTTCCTGAAAAGGCAAAACACTCTAAAGAAAACAATCCAAGACTTACCTGTGCAAAATTCAAAATATCAAGCATCCAATACAATTGTACTGGATATACAAAGAAGCAGGAAATTGTGACCCATAACCAGGAGAAAAATCAGTCAGTAGGAAAGGGCCCAGAAATGACAGTTCAGGAAAGAAGCGAAAAATCTTAAAAGAGCTAGTACAGATATACTCAAAGATGAAAAGGAAAACATGAACATGCTGCAGAGTGGAATGAAAGATAGAAAAAATACCTGAATGGAATTTATAAAGAAGAAGAAGAAGATGTATGAAATGAAAAATCCACTAATAGCAGAGTAGACACTAGAAGAAAAGATCAATAGACATAAAAATATAGCCATATAAATAATTCAAAATGAAATGAAAAAAATGAAGAGAATCAGTTCTCTGTAGAAATATACCAGACAGTGTAGTGTATGTGCACGTGGAGTCCAGAAGGAAAGGAGAAAGGGAGGATAACAGAAATTTATGTGAAGAAATAATAGGTGAAAATTTTCCCAAATTCGATGAAACTATGAATCCACAAATTCAAGAAAGTCAATGAATCAGAGGGAGAATAAACCTGAAGAAAGTCACACCAAGGCAGATCATGATCAAATTACTGAAAAAGAAAATTTCTTTTTTTTTTGAGACACTTGCTCTGTCACCCAGGCTTGGAGTGCAGTGGCGCAATCTCGGCTCACTGCAACCTCCATCTCCTGGGTTCGAGCGATTCTCCTGCCTCAGGCCCCCGAGTTGCTGGGATTACAGACACACACCACCACACCCAACTTTTTTTTTGTATTTTTAGTAGAGACGGGATTTCATCAGGTTGATGAGGCTGGTCTCAGCTCCTGACGTCAAGTGATCCACCCGCCTTGGCCTCCCAAAGTGCTGGGATTACAGGCATGAGCCACTGCACCCGGCCCCAGAAGAGAAAATCATAAACCATTTCGCACAAAAAGGCACATCACATACTGAGGAACAAAGTTAAGAATTATAGCAACATTTTGTCAGAAACTGCACGTCAATGGTATAATATCCTAAAAATGCTAAAAACCTTTTCAGACAAAAGCTGAGGGAATTAATCACAAACAAATTTGTACTCTGAGAAATGTTAGAGTAAGCTCTTCAGATGCTTACAGACTGTGGCTGCTGCCTGTAATCCCAGCTATTTGAGAGGCTAAGGCAGGAGGATTGCTTACAGCCACTTCAACACCAGCCTGAGCAACATAGCCTATATCTTAAAAAAAAAAAAAAAATTAGCTAGGTGTGTTGGCAACATAACTGGCCTGTATCTAAAAAAAAAAATTTTTTTTAATTAGCTGAGTGTGGTGGCACACCTGTACTCCCAACTACTTAGCAGGCTGAGGTGGGAAGATGGCTTAAGCCCAGGAGTTTGAGGCTGCAGTGAGTAGTGACTGTACACTGCATTCCAGCCTGTGTAACAGAGTGAGACCCTAACTCTTAAATAAATAGAATAAGTAAGCTCTGCATACAAAAGGAACATGATACAAATGGAAATACAGATCCACACAAAGTAGCAGAGTAGGGAGAAAAGTAAGTGGCTAAATGTAAAAGACGTTTCTCTCATTTTAAACATCTTTTAAAAAATAACCTAGTGAATTTTATCAAAGAGGAATTAATACCAGCCCTTCACAAACTCTTGCAAAAAACTGAGAGGAACCATTTCCCAACATATTGTGTGAGGCAAGTATTACCCTGCCACCAAAACCAAAGACATCACAAGAAAAAAAAACTACCAACCAATATCTCACAAACATAGAAACAAAAATTCTCAACGAAATACTGGCAAAGTGTTAAACACCATGACTAAGTGGGGTTAATCCCAGGAATGTAAGATTGGTTCAATGTATGAAAGTCAATGTCATACACCATATTGGTAGAATACAAAACAAATGATCATCTGAATACATGTGAAGAACAAAATTTGACAAAACCCAACGGTCTTTTATAATGAAGTTCATTAGAAACTCAGTGCTCAGGATTTTTATTGGGGCGCCTTCTGCACAGCATGTAGGCACACTCTGCCTAGGCTGTACCAAAATGTCAGACTACCAGCAGGAGAACAGGTGTTCTGCGTAAAGCATATTGTTTGTATTAACAGTTTAGGCATAGTGAGCACAGTTATCAGAAAGCTAGGTTTCTAGAGGCTGCCCAAGAGTCTACAGGAAGGCCTAAGCATAAACAGTTATGCTTGCTATGTTTAACTCTTCTGCACAGCAAGGGACCTGCCCAAAATAGCCAAAACAATCTTGAAAAAAGAACAAATTTGGAAGACTCATACTTCCTGATTTCAGAACTTCTACAAAGGTATAATCATCAAAACTATGTTATACTGGCACAAAGATAAACACATCAATCAACTTAATAAAATTGAGAGTTCAGAAATAAACCCTTATATTTATGGCCAATTAACTTTCAACACAGGGGCCAAGACCATTCAATGGGCAAAGCATATAGTCTTTTCAACAAATGGTTCTGGAACAACTGGATAGTCACATGGAAAAGAGTGAATGTGGACCCCTATCTCACATCACGTAGAAGAGTTCACCCAAAGTAAATCTGAGACCTAAATGTAAGCAAGAAAACTACAACACACTTAGAAGGAAAAACAGGAGTAAGTCTTTATGGCCTCTGATTAGACGACGGCTTCTTAGATACACCAAAAGCACAGCAACACAATAGATTGGAATTAAAATTTCACAAAATGTTTGTGCTTCAAAACACACCATCAAGAAAGTGAAATGACAACCCACAGAATGGGAAAGACATTTTAAATCATGTACTGATAAGGGACTTATACCCAGAATAACTCTTACAACTCAATAATAAAAGACAACCTCAAAAAACCCAATTTTAAAATGAATAAATGACCTGAATAGACATTTGTCCAGAGAAGATATACAAATGGACGAATAAGCACATGAAGACCAAAACCACCATTAGGGTGACATATATGTCATTGTCATATGCCGCACGATGTTTTGGTTAACAACAGATCACATGTACGATGGTGGGGCCATAGATTATAATGGAGTATATGTAGAAACCTGACACATGGCACTTGATATTGACATTGCATATGTAGTTGGGGAAATGACTGATACTCAGTAATGGTGCTGGGACATTTGGTTTTCCATATGAAAAAATACATATAAATAAAAATGTATATACCCTCTACGTTTGTGTAAGTATACTCTATGATGTTCCCAAAGAGAAGATAGCCTAACAATGTAGACCGTATCCCTGTCATTAAACTACACATGTCCCTCCCTCTCTCTCTCTCCGTTGATGGGAACGTGAAATGGTACAGCCACTGTGGAAAACAAAATGTTAAACATAGAGTTATCATATGATCCAGCAATTCCACTCTTGGTGTATACCCAAGGAACTGAAAACAGGGATTCAAACAGATACTTGTACACCAATTTTTTTTTTTTTTTTTTTGTCTCCCAGGCTAGAGTGCAGTGGCGTGATCTCGGCTCACTGCAAGCTCCACCTGATGGGTTCACGCCATTCTCCTGCCTCAGCCTCCTGAGTAGCTGGGACTACAGGTGCCCACCACCACGCCCGGCTAAGTTTTTGTATGTTTAGTAGAGATGAGGTTTCACCATGTTTGCCAGGCCGGTCTCCATCTCCTGACCTCGTTATCCACCCGCCTCAGTCTCCCAAAGTGCTGGGATTACAGGCGTATACCAATGTTTGTAGCAGCATTATTTACAATCGCCAAAAGGTACAAACAACCCAGATGTCCAACAGGTGAATGGATAAACAAAATGTGATATATATATATATACACAATGAAATATTATTTGGCCTTGAAAATTGTGAAATTCTGATACACACTGCAACACGGATGAACCTCGAAAAAAGGACAAGTATTATATAAGTGTATTCTTGATCCCACTTGCACAAGGTACCCAGAATGGGCAAATTCATAGGGACAGAAAGGAGAATAGAGGCTGCCTGGAAATGGAGGAATGGGGAGTTATTGTTTAATGAGTACAAAATTTCTGTTTGGGATGATGAACATGTTCTGAAAACAGACAGTAGGAATGGTTACAGTAGGAATGGTACCTAATTCAATTGAATTGTACACTTGAAATTGTTTAAATGGCAAAATTATTTTTAACATTGCTCACTGAGCACCTATAAAATGGCAAATTTTATGTGTACACTTGAAATTGTTTAAATGGCAAAATTATTTTTAACATTGCTCACTGAGCATCTATAAAATGGCAAATTTTATGTTATGTATATTTTACTGCATCATTTAAAGAGACAATGGCATACCACTTCACATCCCCTAGGAGGCTATAAAAACAGAAAGACAGTAACAAGCATCGGGGAGAAGAAATGGGGACCCTCAAACATTGCTGAAGAAATGTAAAATGATGCTGCCACTGTGGAAAACAGTTTGGCAGTTCCTCAAAATGTTAAAAATAGAGTTTCCATATGGCCCAGCAATTCCCAGCAATACGCAAGAGACATGAAAACACACATCTACACAGAGACTTGTATATCAGTGTTGATAGCAGCACTGTTCATAATAGCCAAAAAGTAGAAAGAACCCAAATTCTATCAACTGATAAGTAAAATGTGACAGATCCATTCAATGGAATAGTCTTCAGCAAAACAAAACAAAAACAAAAACAAAAAAAACATGCTAGGCAAAAAAAGGCTACATATTATATGATTGCATTTATATGAAATATCCAAAGTAAGCCAATCTATAAAGACAAAAATAGATTAGGGATTGTCTAGGGCTGTAACGGTTGGTGGGAAATGGGGAGTGACTGCTAGTGGATACAGGATTTCTTTTTCTTTTTTCTTATTTGTTTATTTATTTTTATTTATTTATTTATTTTTTTTTGAGAGACAAGAGTCTTGCTCTGTCGCCAGGCTGCAGTGCAGTAGGGCGATCTTGGCTCACTGTGACCTCCAACTCCCTGGTTCAAGCTATTCTCCTGCCACAGCCTCTTGAGTCGCTGGGATTACAGGCACGTGCCACCACACCCAGCTAATCTTTGCATTTTTAGTAGAGACAGGGTTTCACTCTATTGGCCAGGATGGTCTTGATCTCCTGACCTCGTGATCCACCGGCCTCAGCCTCCCAAAGTGCTGGGATTACAGGCGTGAGCCACCATGCCTGGCCTGGATTTTTTTATGGAATGATGAAAATGTTCAAAAACTTACTGTGGTAATAGTTGCATAACTCAGGAATATAGAAAAATGATGGAATTGTACACTTTAAATGACTGAATTGTATATCAATCAATACGGATGTTTAAAAAGGATATTCTAAAGCAACTATAATAGCAGTGTACTTTGGTGTATATTTTATATATAGAACTAAAATATATAGTAACAATAGCACAAAGTATGGAAAGGGGTAATTGAAATATACTACAGTAAAGTTCTGACATTTTACATGAAATGTATAATATTATTTGACTATAGCCTATAAGTTAAAGATATATATTGTAAACCCTAAAGCCACCACTAAATATTTAAAATAAAGATGTATAGCTAATAAGGGAATAATTACTATGCAATAGATTAATAAAAAATTCTCACTCTGAAAGACAGAATAAAAGAACAAACAGAGCAAATAGAAAACAAATAGCAAGAAAGGTAGGTCTAAACCCAACGTTATTGATAATTACATTAAAGGCTAAATATTCCAATTAAAGGCAGAGACTGTCAAATTAGATTTAAAAGTAAGTCTTGGCTAGATGCAGTGGCTCATGCCTGTAATCTTAGCACTCTGGGAAGCTGAGGTGGAAGGACAGCTTAAGGCCAGGAGTTCAAGACCAGCCTGGATTATACAGTAAGACTTAATCTCTATAAGAAATAAAAAACAATTAATCAAGCATGGTGATGTATGCCTGCAGTCCCAACTCCTTAGGGAGGCTGAGCTAGGACGATCACTTGAGCCCAGGAGTTTGAGGTTACAGTGAACTATGATTGCACCACTCCATTCCCCTCTCTCTTTAAAAAAAAAAAAAAAGTCCCTACGATACACCACCTACAAGAAACACACTAAAAATTAAAGATGAACATAGATATAAAGTAAAAGAATGGGAAAAGACATATGCAAACTCTAAAGAAATTTAAGGCAGGGGGCGGTGGCTCCTGCCTGTAATCTCAGGACTTTGGGAGGCTGAGGCAGGTGGATCATCTGAGGTCAGGTGTTTGAGACCAGCCTGGCCAACATGGTAAAACCCCATCTCTACTAAAAATACAAAAATTAGCTGGGCGTGGTGGCAGGCACCTGCAATCCCAGCTACTTGGGAGGGTGAGGCAGGAGAATCACTTGAACCTGGGAGGCAGAGGTTGCAGTGAGCCAAGATCACGCCATTGCACTCTAGCCTGGGCAACAAGCGGGAAACATCTCAGAAAAAAAAAAAAAAAAAGAAAGAAATTTAAATGGCTATATTAATATCAAAGTATACTTCAGAAAAAAATATTAAAGGCCGAATTCACTACTGAGATTCTGCTGCCCAATAATCCTAAATGTATATGTACTCAATCATAAAGTTTCAAAACATGGAAAGTAAAAGTGAAAGAATATTAAAGTAGATTTCAACATTCCTCTTTCAGCAAATAATAGGACAAGCAGACCAAAAAAATTGTCAGAAATAAGACTTGAATAGTGCTGTTGACAAACTTGACCTAATCGATATTTATTGAACAAGAGGATCCATAATTTCAACACTCTTCTCTAAGCAATCGATATATTTAGAGAAAATAAATCAGTAAAGATATAAAATACACAGTAAAGATACAAAAGTGTCTTTCAAAAAAGTCTGTCAATTGACCTAATTGGTATTTATGGGACACTCCAGCCAACCACAGCAGAATAAATGTTGTTTTCAAGTACACTTGAAATTCAAGTAGAAAATGAATTAGTTGGGCATGGTAGCATGTGCCTGTATTCCTAGCTACTCAGGAGGCTGGGGCAGGAGAACTGCTTGAACTTGGGAGGCAGAGGTTGCAGTGAGCTAAGACTGCACCACTGCACTCCCGCCTGGGCAACAGAGCAAGACTGTCTCAAAAAAAAAAAAAAAAAAGGTAGAAAATGAAAAAATCAATAGAGAAAATGAATACAAATGAATACAACCAAAGCAGTTTCTTTGAAAAAATAATAAAAAATCTCTAGTCCAAAGATTGGCTAACACTTTTATAAAGGGTCAGATAAATACTTTAGAATTTACAGGCCATATAATTTATTCACCTTGCAACTACTCAACTCTGCCAATGTAGCATAAAAGCAGGCATAGACAATACGTAAATAAATGAGTGTGGCTGTGTTCTAATACATTGTTTACAAAAAAGAGGTAGGAGCATGAAAAAAGAGATAGCAAGATAGAGAGATGAAACAGAAAGACAGAGAGAGAGAACACAAATTACCAAAATCAGGAATGAGAAAGAGACATCACTACAGATCATACAGTCTCCACCATCAGCTAGTCACTCCAGGGAACCCCCACCCCATCCATGGAGCAGGCAAGAATGTAGAAACCACATGAAGCTATGTGCCTTCAGCCTTCATTGTTGACATGCATTTATTTATTTAACTAATTTATGTTAACAGGCAAAACAAAAATCCCTGGACTTACGGATCTTACCTTCTAAATTGGGAGATTAAGAATAAACAATGTTCATAATACATTTGTAGATTATCCAGTGTGTTAGGAGTTTGCAAGAGCTGTGAAGAAAAAAGGAAAAGTAGGACAAAGGAGGGAGAGTGGAAGTTCTGAGAGTTTAAAATGGTGTGAAGGGCCACCCAGGAAGGTCTCACTGAGGAGTTAACATTTGAGCAAAAACCTGAAGGAGGTGATAGAGCAAGCCATGGAGAAGGATGTGCTAGGCTGAAGGAATAGCCAAGGCACAGGCCCTGAGGCAGAGCCATCCCTGAACATGTGGGGAACAGCAGAGACCAGAGTTGTTAGAGTGGAGTGAATAAGGAGGAGAGAGGTGGAAAGAGAGATCAGAGCCTACAGGGGAAGAAGTCAGAATAGGGCCTTATGGTCTAAGGTGTGAAATGGCTGGGAAGCCCAGCAGGAGAGGGGTTGCCAACACTGGGGGATGAATAACAGATCAACAGAAACTTAGAGCAACAATGGGGCTTCCCACAGAGCCACAGTAAGGTCACTCCAAGAGCTGGACCCTCGAGTCCTGGGGTCAAGGAGGAGCTAGCAAGATCCCTCCTCCCTCCTCCCTCCTCCTTGCATGAGGACATGAAACCTGGGGGCAGAGGACACCTACCCGCCCGTTCTCTATCTCCCGGCAGGCCATCAGGATCACCTAGACAAGGTGGGTCAGGGGAGAGGAAGGTGATTTGGGTGAGGGGGCCAGGGAAATGCCGAGGGGTTACTTAGATGTTGACCCCACCATTGTGCCCTGCCCCCAAGTGCTGACCTTGACCCCAAACTCCCAGACCAGTCTCCAGAAGTCTAGCAGGGTGTGAGGCAAGGGTCCTTGAGTGGCAATGTAGGCCAGGCTTCCATCCACGCCCTGGTGAAGGCCGAATTCACTACCGAGATTCTGCTGCCCACCCCCCGGCCACTCCCAGTCCACCTCCTTCCGTGACCCCAACCCTCACCCGGATGAAGTTGCCATTAATGTAGTCGCTTTGTCCCTCTTCCTGGAGCAGGGAGAGGACTACTCGCGTCTGATCATCTGTCAGCAGATAAGGTGAGAAACGTGGAGTTTGGGGAGGATAGGGTGACCGAGGGTCTGACAGCCCCCTGGCTGAAAGCCAGCAGGGGACCACACACCTGCAGAGATCCCACCAAGGTGCCCCGGTGGGCTGCTGAGCAGTGCAGAGGGTGAGGCTCTGGGAGGACAGCGCAGTGGGTGACTCCAGTGCACACTGATACCTGGACAGTGGCGGTGCGTGCGCGGCTGCACCGGCTCCCTACGGAAGCCCCGACTTACATGGCAGCACGTCTTTGTAGCGGTTCTTCCTCATGTTCTCTGGCCGACTGCCTGCCTTGGTGGAGCACATGCCATCAGCCTTCCAGGCGGCCGAGCGGGCCTGGATGTCCTGGTAGAGCATCATGAGTGGGCCGGGGAGGGGAGGAGACAGGAGAGGAGCCAGGTCAGAGTCCCGGGCCACCTAGGCACGCGCAGGATACAAAGCCAGCGGCCTGGGGAGGTGAGTGCAGACCCCGATGGCACCGGGCCTGCCTAATAATAATGATACAGAAATAGCGACCCAGAGCACCTTCTCTGTGCCAGTCTCTGTGCTAAGGGCATGTAATAATCACAGGTTCCTACGACATGGGTACTATTATTGAGGCCCCCATTGTGCAGGCGGGGAAGTTTAGGCACCACGTGGTTCAGCGACTTGTGGAAGTTCCCAACCAGGAAGACACACGGTGAGGGTTGAACTCAGACCTCTGGGCACTCACCCCCTGCACACTCAATCTGTAACACTGTCCTGTAAGCAATAACTGCGATGAAATATATTAAGGGTTATATAACTAAACCTAAGAGAATGTACAATGCATAGGCATTATAATGGATAACATATTATGTACAAGATACCATAGGTACTGTGTTACTGGGAGATTATAATAATAATTAGTGAATCGTGCATTACCATCATCATCAGGTATTCATAATCTCAATGATAATAAGTAACACCCATGCCACTATTCTAAGTGCTTTACTTGGTGCGTTGGGTCATTTAAGCCCTCATGATGCCCTTGTGTAGTGGGAACACCTAGAAGAGCCCCGTGATTCCTGCATACGCGGGAGGCAGTCTTGGGGGGTAGGGGTGCCCTCACCACCCAGCCTTTTGCATGTGAGGCCCTGGGCGCTGTGCACGGTTCAGAACCCACCCAGTCGCCTGATGTCATATATCACATGGGTATTACGTTTACGTTTGTTACACACATTCTTATATTGTGTAATTATGTATTTTACATTTTATTATGCATTTCTTAGTTTCTTATATACAATGTGTCTACATGTATGTAAATTACTTAGGTTGATAATTATCTGCTACATATTGTATATTTACTTACGAACTTATCATATAACTTTGGTCATTTTATAAATTATAATCTTTGTTATATTCATTTGTTGTATTGTTTTACGCAGTTATACAATGTTTATTGTATAAATGGTCATTTATACTATTTTTATGTATTTGTCATATATTGCTAAACTTGATATGCATCACCATATATCAGTTTACGCATTTGTAAGGTATGTTTCTATGTCTGGTACGTAAGCTATAAGCTATTACACTTTAAACACGTCATTGACCGTAGTGTGCAGTGCCTAGCATGCTGCGTGCGCCTTCCTAACGCTGGGCTTGCACTACCCGTATTGTAACGTTTAGACTTTTCGTTTGGTTTGGTTTTGTTTGAGATGGGGTCTCACTCTGTCGCCCAGGCTGGGGTGCCGTGGCACCATCTCAGCTGTGCAGGGGCACCATCTCAGCTCACTGCAACCGCTGCCTCCCAGGTTCAAGCGAGTCCCCTGTCTCTGCTCCCTAGTAGCTGGGATTACAGGCGCGAGCCCACGCAAAGTTGATTTTTGTATTTTAGTAGAGAAGGAGTTTCGCTGTGTTGCCCAGGCTGGTCTTGAACTCCTGAGCTCAAGCGATCCTCCCGCCTCGGCCTCCCAAAGTGCTGGGATTACAGGTGTGAGCCACCGCACCTGGCCCACGTTTAGAATCTTTATAGGCAGTGACGTTGGCCCCTGCGAAGTGCGCGCCCAGTATGTGCTAAGCGCTTTCCACCCGCACCATTTAATCCTCAGGCCAGTTTGGTCATTCATGTCCCCATTTCACCAGGGAGAAGCCGAGGCCAGAGGGGCCAGGTAGACCGCCGGGACCACACGCGGATTCGGGCCCGGACGCGGATTCGGGCCCCACGTTCACCCCCTCACCACGCCACGGTCCCCGCGTTCCTCTTCGCCTGCTGCAGCCCTTTCCTTCCTGCGGTCACAAGGGACAGTCAGGCCGCCAGGAGCGGCGGGGCCGGGGCTGTCCGGGGTAGCAAGGCCGCCCCCCTCCCTGCGGCGCCCGCCCCGCCCGTCCCGCCCGAGCCAGGTAGTTCCGGGCGCGCGAGGACACCAGGAGGGTGTGCACGGTCCGTCCAGGTCTGGCCGCGGGCGCCGCGCTCCGGGGCCGGTGGGCAGAGGGCGAACACGGAGACAGTAAGAGCGACAGAGAAGCGCTGGGGAGAGACACACGGAGAGATCCCCGAGGCGGGGAGACACCCGGGACGCCGAGACAGAAAGGCAGAGCCCGCCGGGGGCGAAGGACCGGAGTCCGCGGGGCCAGGGCCGGGGCGCGCCACTCACTCTGAACTCGCCGGCGAGGACGGCCCCCTCCCGGCCGCCCCGCGCCTCCAGCCGCTCCAGGAAGCTCCGCGCGGCGTCCAGACTGCGGCTCATGGCGCCGCGGGCCAGCGAGGTCCAGCCCGGCCGCCGCGAGTGTGGACGCCGCGGGAGGCGGAGGCCGGAGACGGAGCCCCCGCCCTGGCCTGGGCAGCCAATGGACGCGCGCGGCGGCGGGCAGGGCGCCCCAGCCTCGGTGTTCGGAGCCCGCGCGGCCCCACCCCGGGCGCTCGGCCTTCACGCCCATCCGCGGAAAGTGTGCGGAGGTTAGAGACGAGCCGGCTTCCGGGATCACCGAGGGGAGGCTGGAGAGAACGGACTGGCACCCGGGTCTCTTCAAGGACAGGCCTAGGTCAGCCCCCTTCTCGCCCAGGTGGGAAGAATTAAGAGGGGGTGTCAGTGGAACGGGCGTCAGTGGACACTGGTTGGAGGTCGTTGAGGGGTTGAAAGGTAGCATTGGGGCCTGGATGTGTGCCTGAGTCTTTGAAGGGTCAACAGGGGCAGGATGTCAGGTGGTGAATTTAATTCACTAGGAGCCATCTGAGTGTTGAAGGCACACTTTCCTAAAGGGCCTGGTAGGAAGTGGTTTTGGCTTTGCTATCTCTGCCCTAGCTGCTTGACTCAGCTGTGGCAGCGTGAAAGCAGACAGTATACAGTGTGGCTGTGTCCCAGTGAAACTGTTTATGAACAAAGAAATTAGAATTTCCTGTAATTTTCATGTGTCATGAATTATTCTAGTGTGTGTGGGGGGAGCCTACAAGGTGTGGTTTGCTGACCTTGGCTTAAGGGATGGAGGGATCAAAGCGGGTCTGTAGGGTCAGCAGCCAGGGCTGTTTGATTTATTGTGAGGTCTGCAGGGGTCGCTGTGAAATCCATGGTCATCATTTATCAGTTTCATCTTGGAGCATTCTAAGGGAGGTCGGAGGTCAGTAGTATCATTTAGGATGGTGGTGATAGGGAATTCACTGGAAGTCAGCTGGGGTCCCTTGGATGTTCATGGGGGGTGTCAGTGGATATTAATGACAGTCATTGGGAGGCCAGTGGATACCTGGGACGAGAAGTGAAAGTAATCGTGGGGCCATTAGGATTGAAAGTGTTAGTCACTGAAGGTTCAGAAGAGTCTGCAAAGTCATGGGGAGCTCTGCTCAGGGCACGACAGTGACTCTCGGTGTAACCTCCGAGGGTTTGTGGATGGCCATGGAGAGCCAGGGAGGTAGAATACAGACGCGTCAGTGGGCTTTCAGAAAATAAGTACATTTGCTGGGAAAGTTGTGGAGGCTAAGCCCCTGAGCACACATGGTTATTAAGGGCAGTCATTATGGGCTACAGGATCTCTGTCCAGCAGCAGGGATCCTGTTGAGGGTCTGTCCTCATAGGCTGAGGTCTGTCTGACCGGTGGAGGACATGTTGTCCAGCTGAAGGTCTGGGTGACTAGGTGGGTGGTGTGTTCTCTCCTCTGGGGTAACGTCTCTGTCCATTTCGGGGAGGGAGCCTGTCCTTGAGGGATTCTGACCTTTGCCTGGCTGGGGGGCTCAGGTGTCTCTCTGGCCATAGGTCTATTTGGATGTCTGGCTGAGGGTCTTCCCATCTGTCAGTAATCCGTCTGTTTGTCCCGCTGGGTGTTTCCCTGGGATCCTGTCCATCTGGAAGTCTGTCCAGCCAGGGGGTGGGTGTGTGTGTGTGTGTGTGTGTGTGTGTGTGTGTGTGTGTGTGTGTTTGGTGGTTTGTCTGTTAGAGGATCTGAGTGACTAGCCAGATGCTGCCTTGTGGCCTGTGAACATTAACTGGCTGAGGCTGTGGTCTGCCGTTTCTACTTCCAGCTGCTTTGAGTCTTCCTGCCCTGGTGTTCACCCTCACTCCAAGCCCCCCTTGTTGTTAAACCCACCTGTCCTCCTGACACCTGACCATCCCTCATGTCTCTCCAAACATCCAGACTCTTAGTTTGTCCTCCGTTCAGCTCAGGCTGGGTGTGGGGGATGGGAAGACCCCACATCTTCCAGAGGCCCTGGCTCACCCCAGATTTTCTCTCCCGGAGGACTGCCAGCTGTGTTCTTACGATGAGACTCACTGCTGCTGGTGGCCCTCCTGTTCACACTGCCGGCAGCCGTCTGGCACAATGGGAGCAGCTGGCACTGCTGCAGAGACCCCAAGCATGCCAAAGCCCACGTGCTACGTGCCAGTCTGTCACCTGCCCACCAGTGTGGCCAGATGGGTCGCTCAACAGAGCCGAGAGAAAGATGCACAGGGACAGGTGCACAAGGCTGTGAGTTCAGCCTGCTCTGAGGCTGCAAAGGGGAAAAGAGAAACTACGGTGGAGACTGCTGGCAGACATCCGTTCCTCCGGGATGTTTACGGGGAGCTCCTTGGAGGCTGCTGGCATCTCCAGGGTACAGTTCTTCTCCAGCTTCCTTTTTTGCTTAGTTAAAAAAGGGCAGAAGACTGGAACCAAAATGTTTGAGTCAGAATTCTGGCACCATGACTTTCTCAGTATGACCCTGGGCAAGTCGTTTAATTTCTGTGTCTCAGTTTCCTCTTCTGTAGGGCTGTGTCTCTTCTTGTTGCTTTATTGTGAGAATTTAAGGAAATCATTGTATATAAAGCATTTGGATAGAACAGCACTTGGCTTGCAGTATACACTTGGTGCCATTAATATTATTATTACACAGCTAGTTTCCTTTTCTGAGACTGCCACACCCACCTCCTCTAAGTTAAAACAAAAGCGGAAGGGGGGTTAGAAATTTGAAAACATTTTTCCATTGTTTCATTCTGTTAAAAACCTTCAAGCTGGTCGAGCTGTCCTGTTGGTCCATCCCCAAGTCTGGCATTTAGCAAACAGGAAAAACGCACCCCTCTTCAGTGCAAGAGGAAGCCGTGGCCGTGCCCCTTCCTGTCCGCTGCCTGAGAGCTGTAAGTCCTCTGGGAGAGCCTTTTTTCCCGTCTCCATTAACTCCCCTCAGGTGTGCCAGGCTTCGGTGTTCCCAATCGAAGAGGCCTCCTGGTCCCTCCCTGGGAAAGGGTCAGCAGCTCAGCGCGGGGGAAACAGGCCAAAGAGAAAGCTACCCTTCCCTTCTCAGCGCTGGGCCAAACCCCAGAACCCCCCGCTCTGTGGAGGCTGATTGCTGCCCTCAGGGGCTGTCCTGCAATTCTGCTTCAGAAAGGAGGGGAACCCCTGGGAGTAGAGGGAAAGCCCTCTTCCCCATCTTTAAAATGCTCATAACAGCTTTTCCCCACTTCTCCAGGGCAGAGCCTGGGCATCTGCATTGCCCAGAGCGGGCCCCTGATGTGCCCCTGGAGGCACTGCGACTCCTAATGAAAGAACAGAACACCCTCATCAAGTATTCCTGCTAAAAAAAAATTTGAACGTATATATGATTGAGCCTCTAGATCTCAATATTAATTCAGAGGAAACACAACGGCACATAAAAATGTTAAATGACACTACACTGTTGAGATCAGCAACATCCAGACAGTGAAAGGTCTATTAAGACAAACCAGTTTCCTAATTGAGTAAACTACAAAGAAACAGACAATCTTATAGAGACGCAGGACTTAACACACAAATGCTCATAGCAGCACTGTTCACGATGGCCCAAATGTGGGAGACAACCTAAATTTCATCAACGGGATGGATCAAATGTGGCATAGAATAATGCCCCACGTATAGGGATATACATGGAATATTATTTGGCAATGAAAAGAAATTAAGTGTTGACATGAGTTACACTGTGAATAAGCTTAGAAAACATCATGCTAAGTAGAAGCAGCCAGTCAGAAAAGTCATATTATTCCATTTACATGAAATGTTCAGAAACGGCAAATCTATAGAGACCAAAAGTATTCATTTAAAAAAAGAAATCCTGTTCTAAGGCCAGGTGCGGTGGCTCACGCTTGTAATCCCAGCACTTTGGGAGCCTGAGGCAGGCAGATCATGAGATCAAGAGATTCAGACCATCCTGGCTAACACAGTGAAACCGCATCTCTACTAAAAATACAAAAAATTACCCCGGCACAGTGGCAGGCACCTATAGTCCCAGCTACTCGGGAGGCTGAGGCAGAAGAAAGGCATGAACCCGGAAGGCAGAGCTATCAGTGAGTGGAGATCGCACCACTGCACTTCAGTCTGGACGACAGAGCGAGAATCTGTCTCAAAAAAAAAAAAAAAAAAATTTCTTGTTACAATGTCTCAGCAGAATCTGGCCAAAAGTAGATTAGTGGTTGCCAGAGGGGCTGGGGGCCTGGTGGGAGGGAGGGGATTGGAGTGACAGCTAATGGGTATGGGGTTTCTTTCCGGGGTGGGGCAGGGGGGTATAAAAAATGTTCTAAAATTAGATTGTGGTGATGGTTACACAGCCCTGTGAATATGATTTTTAAAAAATCATTGATGCACAGGGACGGGCGCACAAGGCTGTGTGTTCAGCCTGCACTGTGAATTGTGTAATATGTTGACTATCTCAATAAAGCTGTTTTTAAAAACAGACTTGAGAGTTGTCCATCATTTGCAATGAATGGACCTGATGTCAATCTTAGTTGAAACTAACACACTCTCATCAAGGCAAGCTGAACATTAACTGGATATCTGATGATATTAAGGAATAATCATTGATAATTTTAAATGTAATTTTTGTTGTTGTTGTTGAGTCCTTACCTTTCAGAGATATACATGGAAATACATATGGATGAAATGCTGTGATGTCTGAGATCTACTTCAGAATAAACTGGTGGAGTGGATACAGGGAGTGGGTGGGCTCTGAAAACTGGCTCACATCAAAACCAGCTCAGCGACTCACTATACCATCTTCTCTGCTCTTGTATGTTTCAAATTTTCCACAACTAACAAGATTTAAAACAATCAATCTAGAGGTGAACAATTGCATCTATAAGGAGATCAGACCGGTCATAGAAAATATATACACACACGACCAGTAAGTATTTGAAAAGAGGCACAACCTCCAGAGTAACTAAAGAAACACAAATGCAATTGGGGGAAACATTTTGCACCTAGCGCTTGACAGAGGTTAAAACCTCATATGATGCCCAGGGCTGACCTGGGGGGCAGGTGCTCACATATTGTGATGGTGCCTGTGGAGAGACACAACCTCTACTATAATTTTATTTTAATTTTTTCTTTTTATTGAGACGGAGTCTCGCTCTTGTTGCCCAGGCTGGAGGGCAGTGGCGTGATCTTGGCTCACTGCAACCTCTACCTCCCAGGTTCAAGCGATTCTCCTGCCTCAGCGTTCTGAGTAGCTGGGATTACAGGCACATACCACCATGCCCAGCCAATTTTTTGTATTTTTAGTAGAGATGGGGTTTCACCATGTTGGCCTGGCTGGTCTTGAACTCCTGACCTCAGGTGATCCACCCGCCTCAGCCTCCCAAAGTGCTGGGATTACAGGTGTGAGCCACTGCGCCCGGCCTCTATCATTTTAAAGGCAGAATTCCCCATGTAGGAATGTATTCATCAGATACACTTGCATAAATATGCACAGAACTATGTTCAATGATGCTCTTGAAGCAGTATTTGTGGGGATGAAAACAGGAAGCCACCCAACAATGTAGCCACAAGGAAGGAGCAAGATACATGTGTACTAGACAGCCCTGGCACCCCGTGGCATCCAGTTGTCATTAAAGAGTAAGACGCAAGGTTCAGAGTGGCGTGCACATAATCCCTTTCAGGTTAAAATATAACTAACAAACAGTCAACAAATTTATGGATACCATGAATAAAAAATACCAGTCCAGCTTCTTTAAAAAGTCAATACTGATGACCTCTGGAGAGCAGGGATGGATTGTTTGGGGTGGAAGGAGGATGATGGTTTACTTTTCACCGTGTGCACTTGTGTGGTTTTTAAAAATGTTTTGTAGAGATGAGCTCTCCCTATATCGCGCAGGCTGGTCTCAAACTCCTGGCTTCAAGCGAGCCTCCTGCCTTGACCTCCCAAAGCGCTGGGATTAGGTGTGAGCCACTGCACCAGGCCTTCTGTATGCTTTTCTATCATGAGGATGTCTTCCAAGTGTGCACCTGCACCCCAAAGAAAAATGGGCAGAGAACTCAGAGGGCAGGTCTCCGCGGTCAAGAAGTGGGTGAAATGTTCACCCACTAACATTATGGTAAAGAACCTCCCTGCTCCCTGGGTACCCAGTGCTCCAGCAAGGCGTCCAGCCTTCTGGGGGACGATGCAGAACATACACAAGTGCAGGGCCCTCCCTGCCTTTTGCACACTGACAGCACATTACACATGGCGTTTCACACCATGCTTCTTTGTATTTAATGTCTATCTTGAGGAGCTTCTCGATGGCTGCATCTACAGAATGGGGAAAACTATTTGCAAAGCATGTATCTGATAAAGGGTTATTATCTGTCTCAATCTGGGCTGGGCTGTTATAACAAAATACCACAGACTGGGTAGCTTAAACAACAGACATTTATTTCTCACAGCTCTGGAGGCTGGGAAGTCCAAGATGGTGGCTCCAGCAGATTCGGTGTCTGGTGAGGGGGGGCTTCCTGGTTCACAGATGGCAGCTTCGAGCTGTGTCCTCACATGGCAGGAGGGGCAAAAGAGCTCCCGCGGCCATCTTTTACAAGAGCACTAATTCTATGCACGAGGCCAGAGTCCTCATGACCTAATCGCTTCCCTAAACTGTTGACCATAGAGATGAGATTTCACTATATGAATTTCTGGGGGACACAAACATTCAGGCCACAGCAGTATCCAAATTATATAAGGGACTCAAGTCAACAACAAAGAACAAACGACCTAGTGTATGCAAAAATGCTCAGTATCACCAACTGTTAGGGAAAGCAAATCAAAACCGCAATGCGAGATCACCTCATACCTGTTAGGACGGCTGTTATTAAAAAACACAAGATAAAAAATGTTGGCAAGGATGTGGAGAAAAGGGAACGCTAGTGAACTGCTGGTGGGAATGGAAATTAGTACAGCCTTTATGGAAAGCAGTATGGAGGGTCCTCAAAAAATTAAAAATAACTACCATTTGATGCAGCAATCCCACTTCTGGGTATACATATAAAAAGGAGATGAAATCATTATCTTCAAAAGATAGCTTTACTCCCATGATGACTGCAGCATTTCCACAACCGCCAAACTATGAAAACGATCTGTGTCTGTTGGTGGATGGATCGGTAAGAAAATGTGGCATATATATTTTTTACAAAAAAAATCCTATCGGCCGGGCGCGGTGGCTCACGCCTGTAATCCCAGCACTTTGGGAGGCCGAGACGGGCGGATCATGAGGTCTGGAGATCGAGACCATGCTGGCTAACACGGTGAAACCCCATCTCTACTAAAAAATACAAAAAACTAGCTGGGCGAGGTGGCGGGCACCTGTAGTCCCAGCTACTCGGGAGGCTGAGGCAGGAGAATGGCGTAAACCTGGGAGGCAGGGCTTGCAGTGAGCCAAGATCCGGCCACTGCACTCCAGCCTGGGCGAAAGAGCGAGATTCCGTCTCAGAAAAAAAAAAAAAAAACAATCCTATCATTTGCAATAACATGGAGGAACCCGGAGAACATTATGTTAATAGAAATAAGCCAGACACAGGACAAATACCACAGGATGCCACTCACATGAGGAATCAGCCGCTGAGCACCGGGTTTGGCCTGTCCCCTCCTCGTTGGCACACTGGCAGCTCCCACTCAGTGAGTTAAGTTGGTGGGCTGCCCATGCCACGGACTGGGCCTGCTACCCACATCTACCTGCTGAAGAGCTCATAGGACCCTGACTCTAGAGGGGATGTCAGCATCAAATATCTGACTATGTTAACCCCACACTGACTCCAGGCCAAGCACGTCCCACAGCCATCAGGTCCCCACCCAAGAGGACCCCGATGGGCTTTGCCCTGCAGACGTGGCCTGACCACTCAGAGGCAGGCGCAGCCATGACACAGACGGTTTATTCAGAGCTCTCCACCCACCACGGTTCCACATCCCAGCTCGGCAGGCCTGTCTGTGACGGCCCCATCCTGAGTTCCAAGTCCACGTCCTGACTGAGTGGTGAGTGGGCTCACTCGGCGCTCAGGAAGACCCTCTTGCGTGCGGTATTGGTGTAAGGGTGCCAGCGCCACTCCACGTCTGCTGTGGCCTCCTGCTCCAGCGTGCCCAGGCGGATCATGTACACTGCAGGCAGGGATGGCCATCAGCCCTGGCACAGCCAGCCTCGCCTCCCGACCCCAGACATGGGATTCAGCCTCAAACTCACGCTTTAGCTCAAAGCGGGGCCCGACCTCAGTGAGCTCCACGTTGCGGTGGTCTGTCTTCTTGTACACGTGGTGCCTGGGAGTGAACAGCTGTGGGTCAAAGGCAAGCAGCACGCGGTACACAGGGTGGGGACGCTCTCCCGGGGCATGGCCTGTGGACCCACCGGAACGATATGTAGTCGTCCTGGTTTGCGAAGGTGATGACCCGGTGGCTGTCATCTTTGGGCACGGGAAACAGGTATCGGAGGATGTCAGAGACCTGGGGCACAGGGAAAGAGAGTGGCAAATGCCTGGCCTGGCCCGCAGCCCCAGCCTGAAGGCCCCCAGACTCACCCGCTTGCCCAGGCGGGAAGAGAAGCCATGTGTGATGAGGTGGGGCTTGGCCTCTGACATGGTGCCCAGGTCTGGGATGTCATGCCGCATGACCACGTTGCACAGCGTGAAGTAGGCAGTAGGGCCAAAGGGCAGGTGGCTGACGATGAGCCCCACTGGCGGGGAAAGGTGGCTGTCAGAGACCCCCGTCTGCCCTCAGATGGCTCCCACCCCGACTCTCCCTCTGGCCTCACCAGGTGTGCCCCGATGCTCGTGAACAACTAGCAGATCGGTGACGCCGTTGGCTTTGCAGGCTCGTACCAGTGCCCCCACTTCATGTCGACCTCGGTTCATCCGCTGGGCGCCTGGGAACACCAGCTTCAGCTCCTGGGCGTGGATGGCAGTGTGCAGTCAGGACGGGGGCTGTGTGTCCTGGGCGTCTCCCCCTCACTCCCTGCTCACCAGTACCTTTGCAAACATCTTGAGGCGGGAACTGGGGTCTCGGGAGGTAGTGATCATAACCTTGGGATCCTCGACTCCTGCCCATCGGTATTCATCATCCACGTGGCTGGTCACGCCTGTCAGGGGCACGAGGGGCAAGAACATGACAGTCTCGGGAATGAAATGCTAACTTGGGGGCAGCCAAGACCGCCAGGATGGCGCTGTCTGCTGAAGCCTTCAAGAATAGGAATGCTCCACATGCACAACAGGCAAGAGGGCGGCCTCCAACCACTCTGGCTGCCGAGCACACATGTGGCGGAGGAACAGAATCTTTTGTTTAATTGTAGTTCACTTAAGCTATATTAATCACATGGGGCTAGCAGCTACTGTATTACACAACGAAGTCCACACTCTGCTAAGGTGAACAGTGGCAAACTCCTTTCCCTCAAAACAAGTATCTATAATGTTTGGAATTCCTTCCTTGTTTCTTGAATAATGCAGTGAATTAAACGTATGGGCACCAATGATGTGCGAGGGACACCATCTTGCCCCGGCAGGCACTCCGGTGGGGGAGGGAATTAACAAGCAAGGCGCGGAGTCAGTGGCCCACGTGTGCCATGTAAGTGGGACAGGGCACACTCAGGGAGAGCCCTGCGATGCCATCTGTGCAGTGACAAGGGCATAGGAGACAGTTCCAGGAGCAGTTTCCTCTGATGGGACAGTGCCCAGTGTGTCTGAGGAATGACGGGAGACCAGCCAGCTCAGTGTTGGGGAGGGCTACCTTGTATAGTTACCTTCACCTCCTGCATCATCAAACTCCAGGGACCCCTGTAAGGCCAGAGCCTCTCGGCGTAACTCAGTGGGAATCAGGCGGTTTTCTGCAGGGAGAAGAGAGAGGAGCTGAGTGGGTCACAAGCATGGAGCCCTCAGCTCACTCCACACACCACAGCTTACAAGCCTGTACACGCTTGAAATAAAAATACCTCAGTCCATTCTGGGCTTGGATACAGCAGGGATAGAGGTGACAAAACTTTCTACAGGCCAGCCTGTAAACAGTGGTTACTAGGACTTCATTTTCTTTAGTCTCACAACTTGAAGACTTTCTAAAATATCTAAACATATTGTATTGCTTTTATAACCAGGTCGAAATCTAAAAATTGATTTTTTTTTTTTTTGAGAGTCTAAGCCTGTCGCCCAGGCTGGAGTGCAGTGGCGTGATCTCAGCTCACCGCAACCTCCGCCTCCCAGGTTCAAGCGATTCTCCTGCCTCAGTCTGCAGAGTAGCTGGGATTACAGGCACCCATCACTACATCCGGCTAATTTTTGTATTTTCAGTAGAGACGGCGTTTCGCCATGTTGGCCAAGCTGGTCTCGAACTCCTGACTTCAAGTGATCCGTCAGCCTCAGCCTCCCAAAGTGCTGGGATTACAGGAGTGAGCCACGGCGCTGGACTTTAAAAATTACTTTTGAAAAGAAATATAGACTGTTCTGTATGTATGAAGGTGGACCAGAGACCTTTAAGCTCTCAAGACAGCAAAACCGCTAGTCATGATGCCCACAGTGCCTCAAGGGCATGGCTTCAGCGGGTTCTGGGCCGCAGGCTGCCCACTGCAGAGCAGAGCGCTCCAGGCACGCACTCGGGCACCACTGTTCTCCACGGGGCTCAGAGGAACTCTCGCAGGGAGGATGGGCAGTGCAGTCTGCAGCACCCGCGCTATCCAGATAGTCTTTGGAGAAACTTTCTTTCTTTTTTTTTTTTTTGAGACGGAGTCTTGCTCTTTTCCCCAGGCTGTAGTGCAGTGGCACGCTCTTGCCTCACTGCAACCTCTGCCTCCCAGGTTCAAGCGATTCCTGCCTCTGCCTCCTGAGTAGCTGGGATTACAGGCGCGTGCCACCACGGCCAGCTAATTTTTGTATTTTTAGTACAGACGGGGTTTCACCATGTTGGTCAGGCTGGTCTCGAACTCCTGACCTCATGATCCGCCCGCCTCGGCCTCCCAAAGTGCTGGGATTACAGGCGTGAGCCACCGCTCTAGAGAGAATTTCTATAGGACAAGGTAAAGCCTTTAAAACTGGGGACGAACTTGACACACTGTACACAGCGGGCAAGCTGCAAAACCCGGGTACTGCAGCGTCAACGACAAGTAAGTACCACTGTCACACGGAAGGAACTCTCAAAACCAACAGGAGAATCCAATGGGCAAGGAAAACGGCCGGCAAGCATTTGGAAAGACGCTTGGATATCCGAACACAAGTAAGTGCGGGGGGTTTACCGCGCAGACGCCCACGGGGCCGACCACCGTACCTTCGAGCGCGTGCCTCAGCCGCTCCTTCCTCTCCTGCGCTGAGCGCTGCGCCTCCTCCCGGGCCTTGCGGTACAGGTACTCGCGGCGCAGGCGGGCCTCGCGGCGCAGCTGCGGGAATAGCGGGCCCAGTCACTACTGGCTCCCGAGCCCCGGAGCCCCGGAGCCCCCGAGGCTCTAAGGCCCCAGGGCCACATCCCCAGCACTTCACGCGTCCCGCAGCTCCGAAACAGGAGCTCAAACATTCTCCTACCATCTTGAGCGCCGCTTCCACGTGCGTCCGGGAGACTCTGTGGGGTCCTCTGGCGCCACGCAGTCCTCACTTCCGCCCTCAACCAAGATGGTCCCTTAGACGCTTCACCGGTGCCTGCAGCCGTCGGGAATGCCCTGTGTTAAGATGGCGAATAGGGCGGGGCGGGGGAGGGGGCATGGCAAGGCGATTGGCCGTTCCAGGGGGCGTTCTCCTTGGGACAACCAATAGACTGGATACAGAATGTCACACGCGGCTTCCGACTGCAGCTAATAAAGATGTCCGCCAGCGGCTTCCCCATCCCCGCCCTTCCCCCGCCACCGCCGTGCAGAATGCACGGTTTCAAGATGATGAACCGCTAAAACAATCATAATTAGCGGCTCGAACCAGTTCATCAGCTGTAAAAATGGCACACCGACTGATCTGGAGGTTGCTTGCCGGCTCCTTTCCAAATTAAAACCACTCTTCCCTCAACCAAAATGGTTTCTGCACAGCTTCGCCTTCTTCCATCGCCACAGCACGGGCCCGAGTTCTAAGACTGGGCAGCTTCCGGAAGGACTCAGAACCACCTTCGGCCCCGGCCGCCAGTCCGGCTGGCTGATCCACGTGGGGGCTAACTGGGGAAACCAGTGGATCGGTTGCTTCTGTGCTGCTTCTCTAAGTGCGCTTGCCCTTAAAGGAGCTGACCCGGAGGCCTAGGTGCTGTCGGCGTGGGGATCCCCAGCTGGGAACGCCCCTCCATGGAAGATCTCGTATGCCCATTGGCTGTCCTGCCAACCGCGGGCGGTGACGGGGAAGGTGGCGGGTCCGGATCTGAATGCGTGTCCATGGCGGCGCTTGACCTGCGAGCGGAGCTGGACTCGCTGCTCCTGCAGCTGCTGGGGGACCTGGAGGAACTGGAGGGGAAGCGAGCGGTGTTGAACACCCGGGTGGAGGAGGTAGGCGCCTGGGGCGGGCAGGAGGGCACACGGGCGTAAACTGAGGCTCACCGCTGTCCTCTCCTTGCAGGGCTGGCTGTCGCTCGCCAAGGCTCGCTACGCGATGGGCACCAAGTCGGTGGGGCCCCTGCAGTATGCTTCCCACATGGAGCCCCAGGTCTGCCTCCAGGCCAGGTGAGGAAGCGTCCATGCTGGGCTGGGTGGGCGGGCGCGCTCCAGGCCCGGGCTGCCAAAGCTCCATCCTCCCTTCTTGTCCTTCAGCGAGGCCCAGGAGGGACTCCAGAAGTTCAAGGTGGTGAGATCTGGTGTCCACGCCCCAGAGGACGTGGGGCCTCGCGAAGGAGGTGAGCCCCCTCTTCCTTCTGCAGAACCCCTTCCCAATGTCAAAGACAAAATGCAAATGATGGAGATGGTTTTAATTAGGTTTTTGCGATAAGAGAGAGTATCCCAGAGCTGAAGAACAGAATGTTTTTGTAGGGTGGTTTTGCCTTAGACTTTTACAGGGAGGAGTAGAGAAGTTGGGGAGTTGCTTTACACTGGGAATAATTTTACAATCACTTAAGTTTCAGTCAGCTGAACAGAAAATATTCATCTGTGTATCTAGCTAGTTTCAGACGGACAAACTTCTAATCCCAGTTAATCATTCCTGAGACAAAGAATGGGGAGTTGGAACGTCTGTGTCTGGTCTGTCAGTATGTTCAGGTCCAATGGGTAAGGTCGGTGTCACAGGCAAACGGGGTCATCGGCAGGTCCTACAGGAGTCGTGGGAAAGAGTGGACAAACAGTCTCATCTGAATCACAAGGGGAAAGGCTGTGTTTTGTGGTAAGCTGTTTCCTGGAACCCCAAAGTTGGAATTTTCCAACCAACAGTGTTTTCTAGAATCATGAGCTCAGTTCAAGCTCAACATTGTCACCAAGACGATACAGGCCAGGGAGTAAGATCCCAGCCTACTCCAACCTTTCTTTCCTCAGCTCTGCGGAGGCGCAAGGGCCCCACCAAGACCCCCGAACCGCAGTCCTCTGACGCCCCTCGGGACCCCCTGAACTGGTTTGGAATCCTGGTTCCTCACAGTCTACGTCAGGCTCAAGCCAGCTTCCGGGATGGTGAGTGGACCCTGTCGTTTGGCTGTGTGGCCCTCAGACCCTCTGTCCACAGGGAACACTGCAGCACTGCTGCCATGGCTGGGGTTAGTCTGCGAAAGGCTTTGCAGGTTTTTCTCCATCCAAACTTCTGCTGTACACCCACTGTGTTTTCCAAAAGCATTTACTGGTTGTTGGCAGCATTCGGGTTCATGCTAGCTGCTGGGGATACAGCAGAGAACAAAAGAGAAAAACACCTTTTCATGTAATGTTTAGGAGCAGAGAAAGGCAATGTGCAGATAAGTAATAAGTCAGGATGTGAAAATTGTTACGAAAAACACATAATGGAGTGGGACAGGAGTGGGCCAGGGGAGCTATTTTATGAAGAGTGGCCAGGGGAGGTCTCTCTGAGGAGGTGAAGGAAAAGCTTTGTGGGTGATTTTGGGGAATGGTGCTCTAGATGGAGGAACCAGCCAGGACAAAAGCCCTGAAGCCATATAAATCAGGTATGTGCGGAGGCTGATGGCCTGGAGTGGAGTCAGATGAAGACTGTGGGGCGCACAGAGAGGCTCTGAGCAGAGGATGGTTGGACTGGCTGCACAGGGTCACAGGAATCCTTGGGTGCTGGGTGGAGACACAGAGCAGAGGGAGGAAGCGGGCGTCAGAGAGCAGCCAGTGCCAGAAGCAGATGGCATCACTGGAGGAGGAGGTAAGTGGTGGGAACCTGCACAGGTTTTAAGAGTAGAAGCCGGCCGGGCGCGATGGCTCAAGCCTGTAATCCCAGCACTTTGGGAGGCCGAGACGGGCAGATCACGAGGTCAGGAGATCGAGACCATCCTGGCTAACACGGTGAAACCTCGTCTCTACTAAAAAAAATACAAAAAAACTAGCCGGGCGTGGTGGTGGGCGCCTGTAGTCCCAGCTACTGGGGAGGCTGAGGCAGGAGAATGGCGTAAACCCGGGAGGCGGAGCTTGCAGTGAGCTGAGATCTGGCCACTGCACTCCAGCCTGGGCGACAGAGCGAGACTCCGTCTCAAAAAAAAAAAAAAAGAGTAGAAGCCTCAGAATTTGCTGACAGATAAGATATGGGAGTAAGGGAAGGAAAGGAGTCCAGGAAAGCCCCCGGTCTCCACTCAGAACCCCTGGAGGATGGAGTGACCCTCACCCACTGTGGGCAGCTGAGGGGATGCCGGAAGGCAGGAGTTGGTGTGGTCTGTGTGGTGTCTACTGATGTCCTGCTGGACAGTCTGAGTGGGCACTTGGGCACATACCTCTGGAGTTTGGGAAAGGCCTGGGCTGGAGAGAGATTTGGGAGTCACTGCATAGCACTGTTTAAATTCCAAAGTTTTTGACACAAACACTGGTTTAAAGCTGAACCAGGATGAGATCAGCACAGGGCCTGGGGAGTATGGACAGGAGGTGAAGGAGAGGAGGGGAGAAGCCAGTCAAGGAAACTTAGGAGCAACACCTGGGAGCAGGTGTCCTGGAGGCCAAGAAGAGAAAGTGTTTCCTGGAGCAAGCGATCCAATGTGTGGTCAGCCCTGCTGCTGAACAGGAGGCTGAAGACTGAGAGCTGCCCGGAGGACTGGGCAGCAGCTGTTCCAGCAGAGACATCGGCACAAGCCACCTAGAGGTGGATCCAGAGTGTGGACTACTGTTGAGGCAGAGAAAAGAAGTAGAGGGAGAGCAGGTGAGGGGAGCGAGAGGCTGTAGTAATGGGGGAAGGAAGGAAATGAGGGCATGAGATGGTATTACTATCTGTGAATTTTTAGTTCCTGGTGGGTGATATAATGGGTCCGGGAAGTCTGAGGAGGTAACGTTTTAGCAAAGACCTGAAGGAGGTGTAAGACTGCAGAGGTTCTGGAGCAGCCAATGCAGGGCCGTACCTGGAATGTTTTGGGACAAGTGTTGGGGGCAGAGAGGCCTGGAGCCTGTCCAATTTCTGGGGATGTCCAGATCCTCCTGGGTCCTGTGTTATACCACAGATACCATCCTAACCTTCTCTCCTTTCCTCCAGGCCTGCAGCTGGCCGCAGACATAGCCAGCCTCCAGAACCGCATTGACTGGGGTCGAAGCCAGCTCCGAGGGCTCCAAGAGAAACTCAAGCAGCTGGAGCCGGGGGCTGCCTGACATACATGCACAGAGGCAGGGCAGTGAGCTCAGCTGTTCTCCGACATCGCTCTTTGATCTCAGGCCTTCTTCCTTCACAAATAGCTCTTGCCCCTACCCCACGCCAGCTAATGCCCACTCTGTCCCTGCTCTGCATGTTTCCTTAGGTATGAAGTTTGAAGAGGCAAACTAATTTTGAAAGCCACTATTTTGAAACCATTCCGAGGCCTGAGTTCCCATAGGACACACTCACGTGGGCAGGTACACGTTAATCAACAACTGGAACTGTCTCTTGGATCACTCAGCTGTGGTTTCGTGGCTGGATGACGGAACACTGTGCGAAGAGAGGTGGTGGGGGACAGGAAGTAGTGCTTCATGCTTACTACATCCTCCAAATTGTCTTTGCTGGAGGAGAAAACTGTACTGGGCCAAAAGATCAGGACAATATGACTTGAGTCCACAAGGATACAAACACCCGAGTAGCTGGGCAGCCCTTGGCAGGGTCTAAGCCAGGAAGTGAAAATGATCTGGCCTAGATTTTTAAGGGAACTCTAGGAAGAGGCCTACCTTTTAAAAATCCTGTCTCTTTATCTTACCATAAGAGGCTGAACCTCTCTTCATTTTTTGGAAGGGCCACTTGTGTTTTCTGTTTTGGGAACTTCATTTTTCTACTGGGTTGTTGATCTTTGCAATAATTTCTAGGAGCTGTTTATATTTAGAGGTAATTGGTCCTTTGTTCATATGTATGAGATGGAAGTCTTATTTTCCAGTTTATCTTTTTGCTTATGATTTTTTTGACTTTTTATTATAAAATAAAACATATTACATCAAACCGCACAGAACAGTTGAATAGCTTAATGAATAACTACAGTAAAAGCTATGGTAACCACTACCCAACTTTTGTGTTTTTTGATCATTATTTGTACATACAATTGAATGTATCCAGCTGTCACATGATTCTGAATTTGGGCTTGTAACTGGTAAGGCAATCAGGGAATTCTCCAGCATTTTCAAGAACCTCTGTGGTTTCGGTTGAAATGTCCACTGAGTCATGTCCAGCTTTTCCACCGTCCGCCCACGTGCTGTATGTTGGTTAATGCTGCCCTTTTGTTTTGTTAACTCCAGTGTAAACCCAATGTAATTTGGGGGTTTTCATTCTGTTCCGCAGACATTACTGTCAACACACCAGTACTACATTGTTTTACTTCTTGAACTTTAACATAATCCCTGTAGGGCAGATTTGCCATTGGTTGAGGGGTCGTTTATTGGCCTGTTGACCTTGAGTTGTCAGGGAAAAGACTAAGGGAGGAACTCAAAAGGAACCCCCGTGACTGCAGGAAAAATGGATATCTGCCCCCAGCCCTCACCAAAGGTTTCCTTTCATCACAAGATCCTATCTACATGGTGCCCGTTAGTGAGATTCTGAAGCCAAAGTAAGGAAAAAAATAAGTCAATTTTTCTGGGGCCACAAATTCTTCAAGGAGGAGGTGCGATCCCATGGAGCACGCCCTTCGCTGCTGGTCGTGGGCGGGCACTGGGGTGGGCATGCGCCGCCCACTGCGGGCTCGGGGCTGGACTGGCAGGTCGGGGTGGGGCCACGGGCTCTGCAAATGCGGTTGATGAAGACAGCAAATCTTCAGCACAGCGTCCTTAACTCGCTGTCCTGATCTTCTGCCCTGACTCCAGCTCTGGGGGAGACCACCAGGAAAGGGGGTTCTGCCTGCCGGGGGGTGGGGGGGGGTGCCTTGTCCCACCAGGGCTAAGTGGGAAACGGGTCCGTGCAGCCAGTCTGGCAGGGCTGCAGTCACACGGGTTTCCACAGGGACAGCAGGAGCTCAGCGCTGCGCAGCGGTAGGTGGGAGGTGCTGGCAGCGAAGCTGCGGCATGTCATGTATACAGACATGGTGGCGCCATGTTTCAGCAGTTCCCATATGGTCTAGCGGTTAGGATTCCTGGTTTTCACCCAGGCGGCCCGGGTTCGACTCCCGGTATGGGAACAGATAGGTTTTTTGTTTGTTTGTTTGTTTTTTTTTGGCGGGTGTATGTTATTTTCTTTCAACTTGAAAATGTTCGCCAGAAGAACTTTGACTTTTCGCCACTAGAATGCTCCAGGACAGATTGGGTATTTCCTCTTCATTTGAACTTGGAGAAACGCCCAGGGAGATCTGGGCCCCATCGCTGTATGTTTTGATGGCAGTGACCATTTTCATCACGGCATTAGCTAGTAGTTTTGACCATCAATAGCTTACTGAGTATATTAGATGCCATGTGCATCACAGGTGTGAATATTGGAATTAGTGAAATGCCCGATAACATTGAAAATATTCAAAATGTGTTGCTGTGGAACCCCCAGCAGAAGACAGGTCCCCACGGGCCCCCATCGTGCTCCAGTAAACTGGCTCAGGTTGGCAGGGGCCACCTCGGGTCCATGAGCAGCCTCTGCAAGGCGGGGAGAGGAAGTCCTAGGCAGTCTGCTGGGAGCATAGCACTCTGGAAAAATTTACTTTTCTCTCTTGCTGCTGCTTTGTTTGGTCCAGTAGTCAGGGTTCCTGTTTTCTCACTTGGACAGTCCAGGCTTGACTCCACTCCCTCAGCAGAAAACCAACTTCAAACTTCAATGATGCCTTCCTGCCAGCACACACACACACATCCCTTTTAAAGGAGAACCCAGCTGGGTGAGTGGGCACCTTCAGTCCCAGCTGCTAAGGAGGCTGAGGCTGGAGGTTTGCCCGAGCCCAGGAGGTTGAGGCTGCAGTGAGCCGAAGTCGCGCCAGTACCCTCCTGCCTGGGCCACAGAGTCAGACCTCTTACCTAAAAAAGACACTGTTTTTCGGCTTGCTTGCTCAGTTAATTCAGGGAGATTATATGTGGGGCTGAGGTCACGTCTTCAGGAATTACTGCCACACTCATTCATTCATTCCTGCCTTTGTTTTTTACAATTATTTTTATAATTATCGCTAGTAAGCATACCAATGAAAATTATTGTTCTGGCACATAAAGAGCTTCAAAATCATCACTTCCATTCTTAGAAGAAAAAAGCCAAACGAACTGAAAAATCAACAACTCTCAGATGCCTCAGAAAATTGAGGTCACGTGGCAAACCACTCCCCTGAAAATTAGAAGGAAAGGCAAATACAAAGCCACAGCTTCCAGGCGCAGAAGCTGCTGCTGCAGCCAGCAACTTGTAGGGAAGCTTAAAGGGTGGCTGACTAACTGCCGGAGCCTGGGCATGTAAGCATGAGAGAGGAAAATGCTGGGGACCTAGCCTTGAGGGGCCCTCACACTCTCATGGGTTTTATCTCCAGGAATTCTATTAGGTTCTTGGGTGAAAATCAGAGAAAAATCTGCTGGAGCTTCTGGCAAGGGGAGGGAAGTGTAACCACTTCGAAATGCACACAGAATGTCCTGTTCTCCTTAACAAAGGCTTAAGGTCAGAGCAACTACCAGAGCCCACTCAACCCAAGGGAAGGAAAACATCCACCTCCAGTTCTCTCTAGTCTTCCAATCTCAAATAAACAAAGCTGAGAAGCACTTGTGAGGGGCACAGCCTAGGGACCACTGGTTCACAACAAGACTGGGCCCTGATGATGGGTCTATAGAACACTCCCCACTGTCCCCACATCTCACTGCCACATCACTTAGGGCTCCGATATGTTAACAGGGGATTACAGCTGAAAGAACTGCAAGGCCCAGAATTCATGTAAGACTCCAGGGAAACCCAAAGGCAACAGGGGATGCCAAAACAAGGACACTAGAGGAAATGTTAGCCTCTGACATTTACAACTACAGCACACAAGAAACACAGCCTTGCTCCTTAGTCAGATAAATATAAAACTTCACAGTAAAAGCCTATTTACCTCAGTTCCTCTCACCTCATGCATGTTTGGCTTTCAACAGAAAATTACAAGATGGGAAATAGAACATTTCTGCAGCAGAATGCCTCCATCAGTCAGTTGCCTGCCTGTGGAATTTTGGAAGCCCCATGGCCTTACTTTATTCCATTCCGTCTCGGTCCCTTAGAGTCAATGCTGCCATGTCTCTACTGCTATCAGAGTCTCAAAACCTTTGTCTCCTGCATAATTCATGGGGTTTCAGCCAACAGACAAATGGGCCTTCCACAGATCTTTCCTTGGTAACCCCATCTCTATTTCTGGCTTCTGCTGAGATGGTGGAGTGGTTCCGTGAGTCACATGTCCAATCTCTTTAGCAAAATGTTATCCAGCCACACCCTTGGTTCTTTTTTTTTTTTTTTTTTTTTGAGACGGAGTCTCGCTCTGCCGCCCAGGCTGGAGTGCTGTGGCCGGATCTCAGCTCACTACAAGCTCCGCCTCCCGGGTTTACGCCATTCTCCTGCCTCAGCCTCCTGAGTAGCTGGGACTACAGGCGCCCACCACCTTACCCGGCTAATTTTTTGTATTTTTTAGTAGAGACGGGGTTTCACTGTGTTAGCCAGGATGGTCTCGATCTCCTGACCTCGTGATCCGCCCGTCTTGGCCTCCCAAAGTGCTGGGATTACAGGCTTGAGCCACCGCGCCCGGCCCAGAGTACACTTTCTAACGGTGAGTTTCCTAATTTTTGTAGTCTTTGTAATCTGGACATCCTGGGAGCCCCTAAATCATTAAGTGCCAGCTCCTTTCTGCTTCACTGTTCTTTACTCAATATACCTTTTTCCTCTCACAGTTCCTATTAGCAACAAGCAGGTGTACCTTCGACACTGCCCTTAGAAATCTCCTCAACAAAATATCCAAGCTTTTAATATCCAAGCTTATTATTTATCATGTCTACTTTCCATATAACAACAGAACACAATTTAGTCAAGTTCTCTACCACTTGATAACAAAGACCTCTCTTTTACTCAAAAGTCAAAGAACATATTCCTCGTTTCTTTCTAAGACCTCACCAGAAGCACCTTCAACATTATGTTTCTACCAACATTCTGTTCATGACAATATATGTATTCTCTAAGAGCATCAGTCCCCAACCCTTTTGGCACCAGGGACAGGGGCTGGGGGGTTGGGGGGAAGACAGGCTGATTTCAGGATGAAACTGTTCCACCTTAGAGCATCAGGCATTAGATTCTCATAAGGACTGCACAGCTTCAGTCCCTGGCATGCACACTTCCCAACAGGGTTCGTGCTCCTATGAGAATCTAATGCCTTGCTGGTTTGACAGGAGGCGGAGCTCAGGCGGCAATGCTGGATCGCTGGCCGCTCACCTCCTGCTATGTGGCCTAGTTCCTAACAGGCCAGGGACCTGCACCAGCCCTTGGCCTGGGGGTTGGGGACCCCTGCTAAGAGAATAGAAACTTCTCTACAGGTCTTCTCACTTCCTTCTGAGCTGTCATTGGAATTACTGTTCACATCTCAACCAACTGTTTCCTCAGTGGATTCTAGGCTTTTTCTATCACTGCCTCACACTTCTTCCAGCCTCTCCCTGATTCCAAAGCTCCTTCCACATTTTAAGTCTTAGTTACAGAAACATCCTACTTCCTGGCACCAATGTCTGTATTAGTTTCCTAGGCTGCCACAGTAATTTAACACAAACTTCGTAATTTATCCTCTCACAGTTCTGAAAGTCAGAAGTCTGGAATCCAGGTGCTGGCAGACCCATGTGTCCTCTGAAGGCTCTAGGGAAGAACGCTTCTCTGCTTGTCCTAGCTTCTGGTGGTTCTGAAAGTCCTTGGCGTTCCTTGAGTTGCAGCTACAGCGCTCTGATCTCTGGCCCCATCCTTCACGTGGCCTTCTTCTCCATATGTATCCATGTGTCCTCTCCTCCTCCTGCAAGAACAGCGGTCACTAGATATAGAACCTACTCTAAGCTGGGTGCAGTGGCTCACGCCTGTAATCTCAGCAATTTGGGAGGCTGAGGCAGGCGGATCACCTGAGGTCGAGAGTTGG